GGTGTGTCTCTCCCACTTCTCCCTTCTTGCCTGTACAAGGTCATCAGTAGCTTTGTTGTCTCAGCTTGCTCTTGCTGGAGTGCAGCCTCGTGCAACTCTTGGACTCATGTGAGACCCAGAGTAATGAAATGTGGAAGAGTCTTAAACCCCAGGAAGCTCTTCACAGGAACAACAGCCTTGAAGTGCGACTGACTATGAGTAGATTGTTTTAATATGTTGCGTTATGTTGTAAGTGAAATGTAGATTCACTTCTACCTTAGTACATTTTATAAATTTGATTGTTATGTTGCTCTTTCTCATGAGGAAGTAAAATAAAAAGTTGTCAGTAAGCAGGAGAGAGAGGATGGAATGTGAGGAGGGTTCATTTTTCATTTAAAAAATAGGTCAAAATTAAGAGGATTTCTTAAAAAAGAAGGATTATGTCACAGAGTAAAATATGATTTTGTCCTGAGTTAAAGACTAGATTATTCCAAGATGGGAGAAGAGAGACTAGGGCAGTATCAGGAGGTTCTCTTGACTTCACAGGAGAACCAAATAAGTTACAAAGGCTTTGTGGAGAATGAATCACAGGATGCATGCGGTGATTATTGGAGGCGATTAATTAGCAGATTGTATTTATAAACTTATATACAGGTATGTGACAATTATAATTAAAGAATAAGTGGCCATGCATTTGAGAGGCAGCAGAAGGGACAGAGGAGGGATTGGAGGAAGGAGACGGAGAGGGAGGTGAAATCAATATAGTACTCATATATGAAATTCCTAAGGTTAAATTTCAGTTCATTCTTATAAAACTCTAATCCAGGCCTCTCTTAAAAATTACCTTAAGTTATTGATATTCTCTGCTAACAACTGGTTTAAAAAAATCAGAGTTTATGGTTAATTAAGATGATTTTTATGTTTTTGTTGTCGGGCATTTTAGGAAAGTGATTTTAAAGAAAAGTTTATTTAAGTATCTATTTTAAAATCTTTTAGATGGAGCCAATGAAATGGATCAGCAGATAAGGACAGTAGCTACCAAGTGTGAGAACTTGAGTTCCTCCTCAGGACTCACTTGGCGGGAGGTAATAGCTGACTCCAGACATTGTCTTCTGACCTCCACATTTATATGTAAACATAGGTGCCCATTCTCAAAGAAATAAAACTCAATAAAAACTTTAAAAAGTCTCTTAAATGCCACTTTTAAAACAACTGTTTGGAGCCGGGCGTTGGTGGTGCACACCTTTAATCCCAGCACTCGGGAGGCAGAGGTAGGTGGATCTCTGTGAGTTTGAGGCCAGCCTGGTCTACAGAGCAAGTTCCTGGACAGCCTCCAAAGCTACACAGGCAAACCTTGCCTCAAAAAACAAACAAACAAACAAACAAACAAACAAACAAACAAACTGTTTGGGTGTGACTCCAGCCAAAGATAACTATATTGCTTTGCTAGTTACTAAACTTCATACAAAACCCTAATGGCTGGTTTAAGTCTTTTGCCAATCACAGTTTTGGTCATTTCTACATATAAACAAATCAATAAGTAACAACTACATATAAGCAAATAAACAAAACTATATGTATAAACAAATAAATATAACTCTAATGAGTATTTCTGTAGGCATTCCAGGAGCCAAGGACTACCACAGTTTGTAGTAAACTTAGCAGCTTACAGCCTTGCCTCAGGGAAAGGCTTCCCAGGGTATAGGCTCTGCTCTGGCAGGACAGGGTCTTGCAGCTGGGGATGTTTACCCAGTGTAGCAGTTTTGCTAGGCAGGAGGTTTCTAGGGCCAAGTTGCTACAGTCCCTGATAGCTGATAGCTGATAGCTGAGAGCAGAGAGCTGAGAGCAGAGAGTGGGGAGCTGAGTGTAACAACTCTGCTCTGCCAAGGGAAGGTTTCCCCGGCTAGTGTTACAGCCCTGCTTGCTCTGCTCTGCTCTGCTCTGCCCAGGGTCGCCTCTGCTCCATTGCTGTTGCAAAGGAAGATCTTCACCCAAAGCTCATTGAAGGGGTTTATTGGGAGGGAAGGATCCAGGAGAGTGGGAACGTGAACAGTCACAAGCTGAACAGACACAGGGTTTATAAAGGGCTCCCAGAGTGGGAATTGGTCAGATTTTAGTGCTGAGCTCAGATTGGCTAGAGCTCTGCTCAGGGATTGGTTAGTTTTCTGCACAGGATTAGGGTCAGATTTGGCTTTGGTTTCAGAGCTAAAATGTGTTTCTTTCTCTGGTCCTTTTTAGCCTTTTGGCCCCAATTTTAGGGCCAGGGTGCATTTCTTTGGCTGACTCTGATTCCAGGGACAAAGGGTGTTCTTTTGGCACTGGTTTCATGGTCAGGGTACATTTCTTTAGCTCTGGTTGCAGGGTCAAAGTGTGTTTCTTTGGCTCTGCTCAGGGTGTGTTTCTTTGACTGGTCCCTTTTCCCTACAATTTCTTTTCCAAACTAGTTTTCACAAAATACTTGACTTTATTGGTTCATTTGTATTCTCCTTTTCAATCTTTGTAATCGCTGTCTGTTGACTTTTTACAGATGTTTGCCCTTATTAAGAGAACTTAGGCTACACTTGGAAGCCGCTAGGTCATCACCCATAGGACAGACAGAATTAAACTTGGGATACCCAGGTGGATAGTGGAAGAGCCATCCTCACCATTTAGCTGTTAAAACTTGGAAAAAGAAAAGGGGTTTCATTAGTACTGACTTCTCAGCATCCATCATCATCTTTCCCAGGCCCCAAAGTGGTATTAGGTCAACAAACCAGGACAGATGTCACTGCTGTATCAGGAACAGCAGGGATGAAATTACCAGATGGTTAATCAGCAATGTCGTCAGGGAAAAATTGTTCAGAGAGAAGGACAGGGACACAGGGATTATCAGAATTGGAATTTTAACAACCATGGCCTTGGTAGGAGAGGAGAAAAAACTTTCCACAGGATAGTCAAAATAGTTCATAATGTTTCTTCTGGTACAAAGAAAAGAGTCTTTTCAATTTCAGTCAGTCTTTCATCCCCTGGGTTCTAATTCTTAAAGCTCCCAGGGAAGCATTCCTGTTATCTGGGAAGCTTTCCTATTGTTATCATCTTTGGGTGTAACTGGATACAGGTGTCATTGCTTACAGTGGAGAATGAAAGGCATTTGTGGATGGATACAGGTGTCATTGCTCACAGTGGAGAAAAAATAAGGCATGCGTCGATGTATATAGGCACTTTCTTCTTCCTGGAGGTACCTTTTAACTCCATATTCCAGAAAGCAATCTATATACACATGTTATTACCAGCTTAGTACGTATGCACTGCTGTCTCTGTCTTGCTTGTCCTGAGTTGACTCCCTTGTTCAGGCAGTGTTTGGAAGAGTGCAGGACTGATACTGAACTCTGACATCCAGAGAACAGTGCAAGAGAAATGGTGTTAACTTGAGAGGCACACACGTCATATGCCTCAGAAGTGTGGTTGATGTCCTAGTCAGAGTGGCAGCTTGAGCTCTGGGATGATCATCTGCCCTAGCCCTTCCTATAAGGCCTGCTGGCTAGACATGAGATGGAAGGCAGGTTTCTTTTAGGATGATCTCCTCAGATCTTTCTCCTCACATCACCACCTCTCTTAACGGACCCTAACTTACATATGCAACTTTTTTGCTCAGTAGTGTTTGTGGTAACAGACAACCTGAGTGTGGTATCCAGATTAACAACTGGACATTAAAGCAGGCTCATTTTATTGCTTGGTATTTTCTACTTATGGTATCGAGGATTGAACCCAAGATATCACACATGGCAGGCAAGTGCTCTACCAATGAGCTACATCCTGAACCTTGAAAAAAACTTTAATGAGAACTATGGTCTTGCTGTTTTTCTTCAGATTGGTTGAGTAACTTTATTGAGAACTACAGTGTTGCTGTTTTTCTTCAGATTGGTTGAGTAATTGTGTGTGTGTGTGTGGGGGCGTGTATATGTGATGCATGCTTTTGCATTAGCAACACCGCACATTCCTTTGGAGGACCAAGGAGACTACTGAGGGTTTTCTACTGTTGCTCTTCTCTTTTATTGCCTTGAGAAAGGGTCTACCACTAAACTAGGGACTTGCTATTTTGTCTAGACTCACTAGTCAGTGGGCTCCTGGTGGCTACCAGGGCTGCCTGTCTCCATTCCCTAATGCTAGTTACGGAAATATGCAGCAGCCATGTCTGCGTTTTTACCTGGGTGCCGGAGATTTGAACTCGTTTTTTCCAGCATTCATAGCAAGCACTCTTACATATGTAATCTCTCTCATGCCTGAATTAGAATCTTCAGAGTCTCCTTTCACAGCTCACTCTTTTGCTCTTCTCTACTCATATTGAATTTGTTGCCAAAAGGTGTAATACGTACCTTTTAACATCCATCAAATAAACTTACGCATTTGCAGACTTACTGTGCAGAACTCCCATTAAACTGTGATTTCATCAAGCTGCCATCATTTCTTTGCTCAGCAACAGCTTTCTCTCTGTTTGCTGACAGAACTTTGCTCCCACCACTGTACTTTGCTAGAGTAATCTTTTCAAAATGCAAAGCCATCATGTCCTTAAAATCCTTAGCAGCTAACTATGACACATGCTATGCTTCTCAAACCCTCTACCGAACATCAGACACTTTCCCCCACTCTCTGCTCCAGCCTCCTGGCTTCCTTTGGGAACCTGGTTCCATCTTCCTTTCTACATGCCACAGGCCATTACTTGTTATATGCGATGATGTTCTGCTCTTCTCTGTCTGGACCCTTATATACTCTTTTAACTTTTGAATCCTTTAGACCTTTTCTTGGGCATTGCTTCTTTAGGGAATGGCTTATCTCTTTGACTTGGTCACATTTGTGATTTTCTGTTGTCTATAAAGTTATATGATTAATGGTTGTTTTCCTGATTTTTGTTTCTTGAGAACAGCCTACACATTGATTGTGCTCATTCTTGTATTGCTGCAACCAATGCTTTGTTGGAAAGATAGTCATTCAGGACATTTTTGCTGATAGGAAGGTTGATCAGTTTTTCTTTTTCTTTGCAGATTTGCCATCTCATTAATAATGATCATTTAGAGGAAACGGAGTGAAGGATACTTACATTTTTAATATTTCCCAATTCAGGATGGAGGCACAGATGGCATCGAGAACGGGTAATTTTCAATTCAAGATAATATTTATAACATTATAAAATATATGCTTCATACATTAAACAGTTAAAGCAACTGTATTACGGTTTCTTATTTCTCAAATAATAACCTTGAGCTCCCTTAAAAATACTAACTTAAAAAAAAACCTCTTCTTTCCTGTTTTAATAGAACATCACACAGTAGTTTTAGAGAAAATATCCAAATTAATCCTGGAAAACATGCCAAAGGCTGAGTAAGTATTTTTGTAGTAATTAAGAGTTTTGAAATCATGTGTAATATTCCCTTTTTCCTGTAGAGCTATTTGACCTTATTTGGGAATGTTGATCTGTACCTGCATCTGTCTCAGTGTGTGTGTGTGTGTGTGTGTGTGTGTGTGTGTGTGCATACAATACATACATGATATAAGTATATATAGTTATGAGCAACTATGTGTTCAGCATTTAGGTTATTAATGACAATGAAATATAACAACACTACTGTTTTTATGTCATCTATATGAGTTTTAATTATTTCTGTTTTTTTGTAGTTATTCCAGTTTATTCAATGATTTTGTTGAATCTGAGTTTTTCCTGATCGACGGAGACTCCTTGCTTGTCACATGTGTATGTGAGAAGTCACTTAAGCCAGGACAGAGTCTCCATTTCTTCTACTTGGTTGAGCGCTACCTGTTGGATGTTATTAGCAAAGGAGGGCAATTCGCCATAGTTTTCTTCAAGGTAACGCAGACCCGCCTGAGCTTTTCATTCTCTGAAGACTAAAACCAGAATTCATTTTAATAATTTGAGACAAGGACTCCTGTAGTTGAAACAGGACTTTGGATTCATGATTCTCTTGCTTCTGCCTTCCAAATGAAAGGATTTCAGGCGTGTGCTACCACACCTTGCTATAACTAAAGTTGTTTTTATAAAATTTTAGAAACATTTTCACCATTGATTGAAAAGCAAAATACATTTTTAAAAGTTCATAAGATGAGACTGAGGCTAAGGATGGAAGTTTGGAGCCCACCTGAGCCTCACACAGTGAGTTGATGAGTAGTCTGACCAACCTGGAAAGACCTCCTTAAAAGAAAAAAAATCTAGAAATGCAACTTGGTGGTAGAAGACTAGCCTAGTGAGTACAAGGCTGTGTGTTCAATCTTCAGTGCAGAAAATAAACAGAACAAAAAAGCATGAAACAATTGAAAAAGTCATAAAATTTGAAGGGAAGAAGAGAAAAAAACAAGTACCTAGCACTGCAGTGTTTAGGAATAAACACAATTAGATTATTTTGTGATGAGTAACCATGGGGAACTTTACTGGACAGAGTCACAAGAGTTGGTGCAAGTTTTAACAGTGGCTCCACTGATCTTAATTCTAGTCCTCCAACTCAGAAAACTCTGCCTTCAAAACTCAGCAGGCAACTTATTTGAGTCCATTGTTAGTGTGTCTGAGTCCACATGAACTCACTAATCCCAATTTGCTGTTGTGTGCTCTGTTATAAATACCAAAGAAAGAATATCATATTAGATATAATTAACAAAACTTTGGCAGTTTCAAATACTGGTGTATGCACCTGCTGCCATATCTTCCTGTTCTAATCTCAAGGCAGCTAATACTGTACTCAGGTACTCTGGAGTGGAATCTTCCAATCAGTTTGCAGCTCATGCTACTGTATGTTTCAGAGCATTACTGGCCAGCAGAATTTTGTTCAAGGAGCCATGGTTCTGCCTTATGTTTATAATTAGTTGCAAAGATTTTGGCCCACTGAGAAAAACTCATGCTGTTTATGAAATATTGCTACAGTCTGGAATTATTCTCTAGAATAGCCTGTTCCACTTTCAGCTCCCAATTCCAGAAAATTTCTAATTGAAAATTAGTATTTTCATAGTTTTTTTTCTGTTCCTTGTCTTCTTCAAGTGAGGTTGGACAGGAGAATGATTAGAAAACAGGAAGGCAAAGTGTAATGAACTCTGGGTACCATGGGCTTGCTTACTTTTAAGTCCAAAGTGTGATTAACTCTGAGTGCTATGGGCTTGCTTACTCTTAGGTCCAAAGTGTGATTTATAGTACACATTTGTGATACAGCAAACTTCCAGGGTCAATTTACTGAGTCTAGGACAGAAACAAACAAACAAACCCTGCTGTATCATATTCCTCAAGTGACCTTAATGATATGTGTTAACCCCCTGAACTAGTAAAATGCTAAATGATACTTTTCAAACAATGTACTTCATCTTCTGCTCTATAGGATGCTGAATATGCATACTTCAAAGTCCCTGAACTTCTTACACTGAGAACTGCTTTAATTCTACACCTTCAGAAGAATACCTCCATTGACGTTCGGACTGAATTTTCCGGATGCTTGTCCAAAGAGTGGAGCATTTTCTTGGATGAGAGTTGCCCCTATTTCTTGATTCTTGCCGATGAAGGCCTGAACAACCAGCAGACACACCTTTTCAACTTTGTAGTCATTCAGTCTTGGGCAGCGAAGGTCAACATCGTTCTCTTCTCGGGGCAAACATCTGACATCCTCCGTCTTTACGCATATTTTATGCAAAGCTCATATTCAGAGCAGATCTTTTTCAACCAGGTAATGCATATCTAAAGGACAATGTTCTAGAATTTTATAAACATTCCTAAATTAATTCAGGAGATAAGGCTCAGTAGTTAAGAGTGCTTACTACGCTTGTACCCATGTTGGGTAGTTCGTTACTGCCTGTAACTCCAGCTCCAAAGGAATTTGACAGCTTTGAACTCTGTGTATACTGCACTTACATGCACATACATACATACGTACATACATACATACATACATATATGTAGACAGACACACATACATACATACACAAAAAACTAAAAACGGAATAAATCTTTAAAAGAATCACTATCTTGATTCAATAGTGACTCTACCTGCTTTATAGAAACTATTATAGTTTTAATAGGATGATATATAGATTAATAATAATGATGATGAATTAATAGTGATAACATGGTAATTTGCTAAGCACATTTTATTGTATAAGAGTTCTTAACACTTACAAATTATTTATATTTAATATTCACAAAAGTCTCATGAGGCAGGCATAAGAACTGCCTATATTTGAAGATGGTGAAATAGATGATTGACTATGTAGCCTGTTTAAAAACAGTACTATAAATCAGGAGTATAATAGGATATAGAATTTATGAGAAGCAGTGTTACACTGTTCCCTATGTCCTCAAACACTGTGTGTCGTGTGAAATCAAAGTTAATGAAGGTTAGAAATACATGACCTCAGAGACAAAGGTATGTCTCTGTTGCTGAGATCCACTAGTGAAATGACAGATTAGGGGTTGCCTTTATGAGAACTCACCAGAGTAGGTTAAAAGAAGAAAAGAATGTGGTGGATCCATATCTTCATAAATAACCAGCCAATAAATCATTGACCTTTCAAAGAATAAGAATTCAAATTCCATGATGATATTATTTTATCTATATTTGAGAACTAATTTGTTGAGATTTCAGAGTAAAGCATGTGTACTAACTTTATAAACAGTGTGCCTATTTTTCACTAGTTAAGGTGAACTCTGTAAATGAATATCATTTTAGCTTATCAAAGTATATTTAGAACCAGTTAATGTGTACATCTCTGAGAATTGTATCATGCTCATCATTGCTCATTTGCATACACATAAGTAGTTGTTATGACATGACAGGGCAGTTTATTTTGCTTTCATTAGGATTCTTCTCATTAAAGTATTCCTAAATCTGACTTCCAACTGTGAGCAGAAACAGGCCTGGACTTTATTTTTATACCTAGGGCAAATATTAAATATTGTGTAGACCGGGTCTCACTGTGTAGTTCAGGCTGGCCTGGAACTCACAAAGCTACACTTTCCTCTGCACCTCTGGATGGTGGAATTAAAGGCATGTGCCACTATACCTAGTCTGAGTTTGTTGTATTCTGTTGATAGCAGTTTCTGGATCTGAGTTCTGAGAAATCTTGCAAACATTCTGCCTAGAATAAACTTTAATGGAGAATTTTATTTATAAAATAACTTATGTCCTAATTCATTAAAATTTACCTTAAAGAAGCTTTTTATTTTTACATTAACTGATGATCTGAGGACTACTTAGAATTTAAAATACAATGAAATACATCTTATGACTCCATTTGTAGACTAGTGGAAATGCCATTGAAACTGGTGGCAATGACTGTTTCTAGTACTGTAGATGCCCATGGGGAGGAGATTCTAGTCTCCTCTTTAGGGTGCTTGGTAAAAAAGTGTCATAGTGAAACATACTGAATTTGTATTATGTGTAACTTTGTGAAACTGCTAAAATATGGCACTGCGTTTCCAGATGAGATAAACGAGTATTGCCTGGAAGGGTTTCTAAACATTGCTGACCAACCTCAATTACATTAGTGGAGATTTTAGACTGAGAACTGCACTCTAATATGATTGTTTCTTAAATATCTGAGCTTTTTAGTTGGTAACTATTTTATTTGTAACAACTTATCACACTTTGTTTTTTAGAATATGAGGGAGATTGTGATTGCTTACAAAAGCCTGATTCGGCAGTTGGAAAAATATAGAGACGTGAATTTAACAACTCTGTTTGGAGATTTAAAGTTCAACACTATGATGGAAAAGGTAATAGAACTTGAAAAAACTACTTTTTAGTTGAACTATGTTTTTAAAAGTGTGTGTGTGTGTGTGTGTGTGTGTGTGTGTGTCTATAACCTTGTATGTCACTCCTAGTGTTTTACCTTGTTTGAGATCATCAAGCTTCTAGGATTTCTCTGGTTTAATGGATATACTAACAGAACTCTTGTAGCAGTGGTGAGTAGGAGAGATCCTAGACGTCTTTCCCCTTTTCCTGGTCTGAGCAGGCATGTCTCTATTTGCCCCTGTCAAGTAGGACTAAGATACAGATGTGTCTAGACTCTGATGTAAAGAAGATGACCCTGAATTTCTCCAATTGTTTATATCATGAACACAGTGGTGTAAATATACCTCAGTGCTATTGTTTTCCCCTCAGTTTCATTGTCATATAGCATTGACACATTTTCTGGTAAAAATATACTTCAGCATGATGTATTGTTTTGTTACTAAGGTCTTGGGTTCTGTTTGCTGTATATCCTGTTGAATTTCTGCGTTGGTTGGTATCTGTGATATATCAAACTTGGTAGAATTCTCTGGTTGAAGCTTTGTGTCTAAAGTCAGGATGGTGTCTTAGTCATTTTACCAGCATCATTGATACTGCTGTACTTATGCCTACTATACTAAAACAATCAATTATGCAATTTGTTCTGGGAAATTAGAAATTTGACTTTTTCAAGATTGTTTCCACAAAAGTTTCTTAAATAGACCTTTAAAAACCTTTGAAGTGGTTTTCTATCTCAGTGTCACACTCTTCTTTATTTTTAATGCATTTGTGACTTCTCTTATTAGGTTAATTATGTTTGTCCAATTTCAGCTTAATTAATTAGATATACAGAATTTTATTCTCTTAAGCTATGATTTCATCTTTTATTTTCTTGTTTCTTTTTATCTATTTTTTGATAAGAGCATTTAATCTACTTTCTCAATTTTGGTATTAAATGTTTAGTGTGATTCTTTTTTCTGAACATTGCTTTCATGGCATGAAATAGATTTTGATATAGAGACAGCTATTTTCAATTTAGTCCATAGATTATCATATGATTTTATTATGATTTTAAAAGTATATAACTTCAATCTGCATTTCTTTTTTCACATGAATGATTTAATAGGAAATTGAATGTTTTAGACAGGAATGATGGGATGGTCATTAAGAGCAGTAGCTGCTCTCACAGAGTCTGAACTTGAATCCCAGAGTCACAAGGTGGTCCATAACCATCCATAACTCCAATTGTAGGGAATCCCATGCCCTTTTTTGACATCTGTGGGCACCAAGCACATATGAGCTACAACTGTATGCGCAGGCAATAAACTCACACCTTAAAGTAAAATGAATAAATTGAAAAAAATAAAGAAAAATTCAGATTGAAAGATTACTTTTAAAAATGGCATTTGTATATCTCTGCAGATTAGGTATTTCTTATGATTGTTCTAATTGACTCTTTAATAATAGCAACTCATAAGGTTGTAGAATCTCTCTTTGGTCCCTACAAAGTCTTGAGGTGTCACGAGAATGATGGGAAACTTGACATATTCTTCAGAAGGGGTATGTCCTTTCTCCCTTGCACATTTCATCATTGTTATTTCCTGGTACTACTATTTTCTTTTTTAACTGATGTAGAAGAGGAGATTTTGTGCAAAATACCTACAAAAGCACCCAATTCATTTAGGAAATTGATTTCTATGATATATGTTGCTTCTAGATTATCCATACAATTATATGTGCATGTAATTTAAGAATATACAAGATAGGTGGCTGGAGAGTTGACTCAGTGACTAAGAATTCTTACTCTCATATGTATATGAATATATATGCATATATTCAGGCAAAACATTCATGACCATAAAATAATAAAAATTAAAGTCTAAAGAGCATAAAAATTCTTGTGAGTAATCTTGTGTCTTGGTCCACATGGGAATAAGTTTCATCAATAGAATATATGGTATTAAGATTCAAGAATGTGATGGTCTTATTATTCTAAATATGTTTCCTTATTGTTATATATGGCTTGCTTATAATACCAGCACTTAGAGGCAGGACTCACCCATTTTGAATACATTCTTTAAGTGACACCATGTATTTTACAGTATTGACGGTATGGTAGATTATATACCCTTTCATTACTTTTCTAAATTGTTATATACGTATTTGATAATTTTATTAAAATTCTTAAGAGTAATATTTTATAGACATATGCTATTTCTTGAATGCTGAACATTTAAATTGTTTGAGGATTTGCTTTTACAAATAAATATGTGATGAACATCTTGGTCCACTCATCTTTGAGCAGACTTCGGATTGTTCTTCTAGGTTAGATCTACAGAATTTGAATGAAAAGTATCAATATATTGAATGGTAGTTAAATGTATTGTCATATGCTTTGCCTGTTTATAACTTAATTATCAGAGTGTTAGGGGTGACATAATATGATTTCTGGTGCTGTCTGTTATTGAAGTAGTAAAAGACGAAAAAATTCCTTTTGATACCACGAAAATAAAACAGTGAAAATATTTATATTACCAAGTGGCATAAACATTTTTCTATTTTCACATTATTTAAGTTTCATTAGAGAATTAATATTTAAAGTGTCATGAATTTCTGTGTTGACTTACAGGGTTTTTTTGTGCGTATATTTGTGAACAGTTTCTTCAAATTTTTTTGAAATAATTTTACCACTAAAAATTTTGTTCAGAATTTTTTTAGTGGGAATAGGTACAGTTTCCATGTGGTCATACCCACCCTTTCATTACTATATAATCACTTAGGAATAAATACAGTTTCTAATTGTCATGACATGTTATAATTTTCTACTGTGACAGGCTTGTGAGACTATATCTCTGCTCACACAACTTTGGCCAGAAGGATCTGACATCCGACGAGTCCTTTGTGTCACTTCTTGCTCCCTCTCCTTGGAAATGTACCATTCTTTTTTAGAAAATGAAGAAGAGAAAGCATCCAAGCAGACATGTGAAGTCAAACAGGTGTGGTTGTTACACTGGGATGTACCCTGGCTTTTCTGTTTTATTATTTTCACCTACTATTTCCCCCTCGTGGCACAGATGTTTTCTCTTGTTTATGTGCACCTTGGAAGTAGGAAAAGTCCCTACAATTCATGTTATAAAGAAGTATGTGTGTCATGATTTAGTGTGTTTCTGACAGGTGTTTCACATAAGAATACTTAGCCCCCAAAACCCATAGGTAGGTAAAAGGAGAAACAACCTACTATTGTTATTGTGCTTTGGGCTTTTCTTGTGCACGGTGCATGGAATACTCAGGAAAGTCTTGCAAGACAGGCATTGTTATTTCTATTACACATATCATAGCACAGACTTTCAGCTTTGGAGAGTTAACAGTCCTCCAACCCAAGATGCTAAATAGCAATGTAGATTGAATTCAGGTTTATCTTGTGCAAATTTCTCAGTGTCTTTGAAAGGTACTCTCACACTGTGGTGTTTTGGTACCCTACTGGCTGGGGACAGACTACCGTTCTTAGGTTTCTTTATTGCAGAAGATGACAAGAATCTGGTGACCAGTTGAGATTTAGTTATGGCTAAACATTCATCTCTGGGTATATGTGCTCATGGATACAAAGCTATACACATGTACACTTACCATTTTATATGTAAACTGAGTACTATGGAATCTCAGCTAGTTAATCCTACTAACTTTTCCCATTTCAGAAATGGACATGGACAAGTTTTTAATATTTTGCTTTGCAGTGTCTCCTTAAATACAATTTTAAATGAAACCATTCTACATGATTAGACATCCAATTTTAAACCATCCCTAAATCATGATAGTAAGTTAACTTTTCTCCCTAGAACATCTAATCATTTAGACCCTCTTTGTCATCCTAGGAGTGTCCCAGTGAAGTCTTCTTGCTCCCCAATAAGCCAAAATAGCAATGATGTCCTTTACCTATGATGCTAAATATATATATATATATATTTATCTCTGTTGTCATTGTGCAGTTACACCTTTGCTACTGTGTTGTCCTCATGATAGTTCATATTGCCTTCACAGTTGATTGATTAGAAAGAAGAGAGTACTTAGCATGTAATCCCACCCACCCAAGATCGTGTGAAACCTCCCCTTCATAACCTAGTTTATTACCTTAAACCTGGAGTCCCTGAAAATACGCAATCAGGCTATACACCAGCTTCTGCAAAGCTAGAAATTTCCTTTTCCCCTTTACCTCAAACATGTTTAAGCACAGCCTAGTTTCTGGGTAAGTATTGTCTCAGAAATGGAGAATGTGAAAATGTGGGATTCCCACAGAGAGAGTGGCTACCAAGTCTGCCCTTCCACAAATTGAGTGTGTAGTCTCCCAGCCTGCTGCCCTCTGCTCACATTCTTCATTTTCTTCAGGAGAAAGGCAATTATTTAACCCTGAAGGACATGGAAGATTTCTGCAAGCTGCATTGCCTCAGTGTGGTTTTTCAACTCCATCTACCTCTGGCTCAGAGAGCACGATCAAGATTCATCACTTCTGGTTGGATTCAGGACCTCAAGACTGTCTTTAAAATGGTAAATGCACTCTCCATCCTCTTCTACTTTTGTTTTAACTACTTGATACATAAAAAACCACAGTAACCTTCAAAACAAATTTACACAGGGTAGTGTTAATAATTGGCATTTGCAAAGGTCGACTTGCTTACATCAGTCACCTGACTAGTCTTAACAACTATATTAAGTTGTAATAACAAACATCATGGCTTGTATCCAACCCAAGGAGGAGCCTCTCAAAATTTTCCTCCTTAAAATTCTTTTCAGCATTAGGATTGTATGTCGTTAATGAGGAAGTTCCCAGTAACCACCATATTCTGCATTGGAAAAGAACTGGGAAATGAATACAAGGCTTTATTACTTTTTTCCATTATAGATTATGCATAGAGAGACTTTGGAGACCTTAGGAAAACAGAAAGCAAATATTTCTTTACAGTCTTCCAAGCAAATCAGTGCTAGGATCTGTTCAGTTTATTCTCTTCATTCCAAATGAGCAGATTTTTCTGTTGTTTCTTGCATAGAAAGTATTCCTATTCATTTTTTTCTTTTCACGTTTTCCTATTTTCTTTCTAACATTGTGTGATGCCATTTTAATGGCTACTAGTTACATCTTTACATATAATATATGCATAAACATACATATGTATATATTAGCCACGTATACTTTCTATTAGGATTCTGAGGTTAATAATAAAAAATATGTCCTGTGCCCAATGGAATTAGAAATATGCTCTTCCAACCTGGAAACAGAGTGAGACAAACACTCCTTGTTGCCTTACCTGAACTCTTTTAGATGGCTACATTTTATAGAGAAGACACATATTGAATTTTAACAATTACTGTGAAGGAAGAGCTAGAGTACTTTAGATTATTATAATAAAAAGATCTAGTCAAGTTTGCCAGAGTTTCTCTAAGAAGTTACATGACCAAAGTCCTGAAGAATGGGTAAGAGTTAGATGGATGGAGAGAATGGAAACCAGATTCTGGAAGAAGAAGCATTATGTGTGATTTCCCTAAAGATAGCATGACTGAGGAACTAGGGTCCATCCAGTGTATGAAGGACAAAAAGACTATAGGGTTAGTGATGAAGCTGGTGTAGTAGGTGAGAGGCAAGTCATGTAGCATCCCTGTAGATCAGGGTAGATAAATTCATCATAAGTTCATTGGGTGCCTGCTAAACAGTTTTAAGTAGGCTATTGGAACTTCTATATTTTAAAAAGTGTTTTTAATTGCAATGTAGATGACACACTGTAGATAAAAAACTGGATTTGGGGGCATTAGGGGACTATTTATCCATATACCTGTTGATGGTGTTAGAGACTAAAGAAGTAACTTCTCTGCACTCTACACATAAGGGTCTTAGTATGCTTCTGTAGCATTCTGACGAGTGACCTAAACATAACTGGCAGCAGCTCAGCTGCATGGAGAGTGTCTCTTCCTTACTCAATGAGAAATAGCACTTGCATAAATGTTAATGTCCAGCTTGAGAGATGCGGAGCCAATTCATGAGTGTATTAATTTGACTGTGACTAAAGTGGTGAGGAAGTTACATTGATTTCACTTGATAGTGCTTGCATTGCATTTACTACATCAGCACAACATGATCTGGGGTTGGAAGCTTAAGGTCAGGTACAAGACACAAGAGTGATGATTCAATTGGTAAAATACATGCCTTGGAAGCCTGAGAGTGTAACTTTGATCTACAATGTAGAACCGTGTACCAAATCAGGTGCAATGATACTCACGTTAATCTCAAGACTAGGTAGATGGAAAGATCTCTTGTTGGCCATCTAGCCTACTTGGTCAAGTTCCAGGCCATACATAAAGTGGAATATACGAGGAGAATGACTCCCGAGGTCAATTTGTGGCCCCCACATACCTGCACACACCCATGGCACATCCATGTTCATACAAAAGAGTATCAGGGTGCATTGATTTTCTGCATTAGTGAACATAGCTGTTGTAATGGAATTTTTAAAGAGTTCTGTGCTGTAGTAAATATGAGGCATGGTGAAGATGTCTCTAAGTAGGTTCTACTGATTCTTGAGAGAAAATTCTGTATCCTAAACCCCATGTGTGGGCATTCCTCCAGTTGCTCTGTTAGTCCTTCAGGGGTAGCAGACTCTGAGTCATTAATGAAAGGCAGGAAGACTTCTGGATGGGTCATTTCAGGCTAAAATATCAAACCTGCTCACGTCTGCAATTAAAATAAACATGTGGCACCAGTAATGTGCTTTGGCTTTTGTTATGATTTTTTTCTCAGTTGTATTAAATTACTTTGTCACCTTTATGTAGTTCAAGTCTGGAGCACAAATGGGAGCTGGTGTGAATGCAGTAGGTGTGATACAGACTTGAATGGATGCCTTCTATGTACAACTGTTATTAGTGAAAACTTTTTGACATTATGTTAAAAGACATTATTTAAAAAATCTTTAAGCATTTGACAACGTTCTAAGATGGACAGGCAGGAAGTACCTGAAAACGTTATCTGATCAAGAACAGTAGCTTCATTTTCCTCCTTTCCTTGGGAAGCATTAAGTTTTAATACTAAGGGAGAGTGGATGAGGAAATCTTACTCGGGAGATTCTCACTTTAACTCTAAACCATACTGTTGTTTGCTCAAGCGTTGTCAGCGGTGAGAAAGAGACCACAGAACTCAACAGAAGCCACTTGGAATTTATTAGGGAGGAGCAGCGAGGGGAGGGGTTGGCATCAGCAAACAGGAGTGAACGTGAAGGGAGCCTTGGTTAGAATGGAAAGCTTGCGCATGCGTACAGAGTCCTAAAGCAGCCATCGCATGCCGGCCCTTTGAACTGTCCAGGTATCTGCCTCAGTGCCAGTGTGAGTGTACCCTACCAGTTAACAGGGGGCAGGGTGTGCATAAAGCCAGGATAAAAGCTGGCGTGCTGGTAACCAGTTGTTTCATTGCTGTCCGAGCTCCGTGGAACTTCTCTGTGATGTCCTGGTATTTTGCTGACCCTGCCCCCTATGAGGTCAGCATAATGTCAGGATATCAACACATACCACTGAAGAAGACTCATGACTGCTGTGGCCAGAATTAAGTACTGTTTGTAAAGACATTCTGCCAGTGTTTCCCTAGAACATCACTGAGCAACCTTAAGTGAGCATAGGAGGTTGGAAAGCATTTTGTTCTTTCTAGAAGCCTTAACAGCCCAACATTTGACAACCCAAAAGTAAACAAGGAAACCTCAGCAAAGAACAGAGGCACATTAAAAAGCTGAAGAAATACGTAGCTTTTGAGATTTTGGATCACAATGGGAGGAAACAGTCAATAGTAATTACATATATTTCTTAACTCATGATAAAAACAAGGTCCCACTGTGTAGCCCAGGTTGGTCTGAGATGGACTGTGTGACACAGACTGACCTCACACTTGCAGCCATCCTCCTGCCTTAGCCTCCCAAGTTCTAGTATTACATTCAGTTTAAATTCGTTTTTGAGCCAGTTTTTGTTTTATGTGATGCTTCAAGTTTTGAGGGACAACATATTCCTTATTCAGCCTAGATAGCTTTATATGCTAATGCATATTGGGGCAGTCATGCCATTTGCCATTCATTTAGATTACAGATGTGTATGGGGTCATTCTACATGTTACTGTGGACATGAAAGCTGTCAATAACTTCTTTTTTGATTTTCAGAAAAAGTGGTGCGAGTATTTCATCTTAAGTAATGTGCACACATTTGAATTGTGGAGTCTGAATTCACTTCACCTTTCTGATTTAAGTGATGAGCCTTTGCTGAAGAATATTGCATTTTACTATGAACATGAAAACCCAGAAGGTATCAACTTACTGTATAAGACAATCACCTTCCTTTAGAGAGAAATATCGTGAAAAATTTCAAGTTTCAAAATCATTTCTTAAATGTCCATTGCATAACTAGTAATTATTTTTCAGTTTCAGTCTTTTTTATACTTTATATTTGCGCCAATCAGAATGAATATAGCAATCCAAAATATTTTTCAAGTTAATATTAATCTGTGAGTATTTGTTTAAAAGCATGTGTTTGTGTTTGACATTTAGCATGTAATGTTTATTTATAAAATTGCTCTTATGAGTATAAATATTTCACTATTATTAGTGATTTAAGAATTTAAAGTTTTTCCAAGAGGGCATCTCTATAATTTCTTTGTGGAATTTTGGTTTTTGTTACAATAATTTTTCTTGTGTTTTTATAGTCAAAGAAAAAGTAAACACATTTTGAGAGAATAGTACTTGAGTGAGTAGCACTGAAATGTCTTTGAAATCAAGATGTGGTCCCTTCATATTGTAGGCATCGGACTAACTTAGCTACTTATAAAATAATCACTCTCTGCTCATTTTTATATTGACTTTATTCAATTTTATTGGTTTCAAAGCTATATGTGGTATAATATTTTATTACCATAAAATAATTGAATTTCAACTGTTATAATTAGTTAAGACATTAATTTTTAATATTGAGATGTCAAACAGGAAAGCAAGATCATTTTAAGATGTGTCACAGTGTTGTCTGCAGCCATAATAGTTTTCTCTTAGATTCAGTGAGAAGCCCACTGAAAATTACCATTTGCCCTGTATTTCAGAGCCTGGTGGCTTTAGTGAAGTTGCATGCTTTTATGCATGCATCAGTGCTCCTTAATACAGTGTATTTTTAATTGTGATCCAGGCCTGGATTTGAATGTAGGAGATATCATCATGAAGGAGTATGTACATCTCTGGGACACTGTGTCAAAGTTGGTCAGAAAGTTTGATGTAGGAAAACCATTTCCTGTGCGAACAACAAAATGTCATTTTCTTAAAAAGACCCCATCACCAATCAAAGGTAACTTATTCCTAACTTAAATTAAGAAAAAATACCTCTTGAAAACTCAAAGTAAAAATCATTTTCTAGCATTTGTGTGTTTAAAAAATTGCTATGTCCATGTGCTTTGACTCATATTGCAAATTTATTTACTTGTAATGTTACCACTTAAAAAAAATCAAAACCAAATGCGAGTGAATTCTATTTCTACCAGTGTGACCTCTGTCAATTAAAAATTTCAATACTGTATTACATTATGATGGCTCCTCTCCAAATACTTGAATTGGGGAAGACCTCAAGGTAACTGGGGGAGCTGAAACCCTGCTAAGCCAGAGTAGAGACTGTTGTGGTACTGCATTCAGCAGCTGTGTTGTATAGTAACACAACGAACAATAGCCATGTGCTAGGAAGAGTATGAGATGCAAAAAAAAAAAAATAAGGATCCAGCATCCTCCTTAGGAAGTCCTTGCCCAAATCACTGCATTTGCCTTCTCCATGCTACTGAGGTATGTCTTTCGTGACATACATAGGAGATGAGGCCAGATCCAGAAGGTGGTAGAACAGACAGTCTTTAGAAAGCCCAGTTCCATGGGACCAACCTACAAAGGATAGCATCCCCTAGACCTGCCTTCCAAGGAATAGAAGCAACAAAGAGTCACACTGGGTGTGAAGCATAATGAATTACTATTGTGATTTTTGAACTTAAACTGTGAGGCCGCAAGACCACACTAATCCAGTAAATGAAAGTAACTGGAGAGATCTGGCAAATTATTATGAGGAACAAATCATAAACATTTGTTTCATAGGATTATGTGTCAACAATTTATGCTGACAGAATTTATGAAAGAGCTGAGGAATAAATAAGAACCCAACTGTGGACTTAGAAATAATAATAACTATTATATGCTATCTGAGTATAATTTGAAAACATTTAAGAGAGATTAAATATAAAATTAGAAGTGAGAAAAATAATAAAACTCTTAAGTAATATTCATTTCCATAACAAACAAGTAGAAATCAAAATACTGGGTGGGTTTAAAAGTTGATGGGATATTAATAACGGGAGAGTTTGGACACCATAAATAAATAAAGAGTCACACTTAAGGTTGGAGACATCCTTCACTGGTAGTGTATCCTAGAATGTATGAGGCCATAGGCTCAGTGTAAAATGGAATCTCAAAGTTGTGATTTGCATTTCCCTGATGAATAAGAATGGTGAACATTTCCTTAAGTGCCTTTCAGTCATTTGAGAATGTTCTGTTGAGAATTCTCTGTTTAGATCTGTACCCCATTTTTTAATTGGATTTTTTGGTAGTTGGATGTCTAGTTTATTGAGTTCTTTGTATGTTTTGGAGATCAACCTCTGTCAGATGTGTGGTTGGTGAAGATCTTTTCCCATTCTGTAGGGAATCATTTTGCCTTGACAGTGTTCTTTGCTCAGTTTCAGGAGGTCCCATTTATTAATTGTTGCTCTCAGTGTCCATGCTGCTGGTGTTCTATTTAGGAAGTGGTTTCCTGTGCCTATATGTTCAAGTGTACTTCCCACTTTCTCTTCTATGAGGTTAAGTGTGGATTGGATTTATATAGAGGTCTTTGATCCATTTCAATTTGAGTTTTGTACATGGCTATAGATATGGATCTATTGGCATTACTCTACAGGTTGACAAACAGATATACCAGCACTATTTGTTGAATACACTTTCTTTTTTCCAGTTTAAACTTTTAGCTTCTTTGTCAAAAATTAGGTATTCCTAGGTGTGTAGGTTGATATCAGGCTTTTGATTTGATTCCATTGGTCCACCTTTCTGTTTTTATGGTAATACCAAGCTGTTTTCATTACTACAGTTCCAGGTACCTCCTTAGCACAGTAGACAGTGTGTCTGTCTCATTACTACAGTTCTATAGTAGAGCTTGAAATCAGGGATGGTGATGCTTCCAGATGATCCCTTATTTTACAGGAATGTTTGGCTATCCTGGGTTTCTTGTCTTTCCATGTAAAGTTGTATATTGTTCTTTCAAGGTCTGTGAAGAATTGTGCTTGGATTTTGATGGGTGATTGAATTGAATCTGTAGATTACTTTTGGTAAGATTGCCATTTTTACTATATTGATCCTGTCTATCCAAGAATGTGGGAGATCTTTTCACTTTTCGATATTTTTAGTTCCTTTCTTTAAAGATTTGAAGTTATTGTCATACAGGCCTTTCACTCGTTTACTTAAAATTACCCCAAGATATTTTATGGTATTTGTGGCAATTGTGAAGGGTGATGTTTCTCTGATTTCTTTCTTAGACTGTTTAACATCTGTATATAGAAAAGCTACTGCTTTTTTTGTTTATCTTGTATCCTGATATATTCCTGAAAGTATTTATCAGTTGTAGGAGTTCTCTGGTAGAATTTTTGGGGTCATTTATGTAAACTGTCACATCATCAGCAAATAGTGAGAGTTTGACTTCTTCTTTTCCAAATTGTATCCCCTTGATCTCCTTTTGTTGCCTTTTTTCTCTAGCTAGAACTTCAAGTACAATATTGAGTAGGTATGGAGACAGTGGACAGCCTTTTCTTGTTCCTGATTTCAGTGGGATTGCTTTGAATTTCTCTCCATTTAGTTTGATGTTGACTGTTGGGTTACTGCATATTGCTTTATTATGTTTATGTATGTTCTTTGTACTTCTATTCTCCCCAAGATCTTTATGAGGAAAGGGTGTTGGATTTTGTCAAAGACTTTTTCATCATCTAATGAAATGATCATGTGATTTTTTTCTTTCAGTTTGTTTATATGGTGGGTAACATTGACATATTTTCATATATTGAACCATCCCTGTATCTATGGATTTGGTTTGCCAGTATTTTATTGAGTATTTTTGCATCAATGTTCATGAGGAAAATTGGTCTATATTCTCTTTTTTAGTTGTATCGTTGTATGACTTGGGCATCGGGGTAACTGTAGCCAAAAAAGGGTTTGGCAATGTTCCTTATGTTTCTATTGTGTGGAATAATTTGAGGAGTATTAGTACTATTTCTTCTTTGAACATCTGCTAGAGTTTGTGCTGAAACCATCTGAGCCTGGGCTTTTTTTTTGGGTTGGGAGACTATTGGTATCTGTTTCCTTAGGGTTTATAGGTGTATTTAAGTTGATTTAATTTTGGTATGTGGCATTTATTTAGAAAATTGTCCATCTCCTTAAAGTTTTCCAATTTTGTGGATTAGATTTCCTCAGTGTCTGCTATGTCCCCATTTTAATTTCTGATTTTGTTAATTTTGATAATCTCTCTCTGCCTTTTGGTTAGTTTGGATAAAGGGTTGTCTATTTTTTGAACTTCTCAAAGGACCTACTCTGTCTCATTGATTATTTGTATTGTTATCTTTGTTTCTATTTTATTGATTTCAGTCCTCCATTTGACTATTTCTTGCCCTCTACTCTTTCTGGGTGAGTTTGCTTCTTTTTGTTCTAGTGCTTTCAGTTGTTGTGTTCATTTACTAGAGAGGGCCTTTTCCAGGTTCTTTATGTAGGCATTTAGTGCTTTGAACTTTCTTCTTAGCACTGCTTTCATTGTGTCATGTAAGTTTGGGTATGCTGTGTGTTCATTTCATTAAATTTTAGGAAATCTTTAATTTCTTTATTTCTTTCTGGTGGTTTAGTTGATCATTGTTTAATTTTATGTGTTTGTGAGCTTTTGGAAATTAATGTTGCTATTGAATTCTAACCTTAAGCTGTGGTGATTTGATAGGGTACAGGGGTTTATTCCGATTTTTTGTGTGTCTTTGGAGGTTTACTTTGTTAGTGAATATGTGGTCTGTTTTTTAGAAGGTTCCATGAGGTGCTGGAAAGAAAGTATTTTCTTTTGTGTTTAGATAGACTGTTCTATAGATGTCTGTTAAGTTCATTGTTCACCCAGATTTTCCATTTTCAGAATTACCTTGATTTGTGTTTTCTTTATTGCCTCTATTTCAGATTTCAAGTCTTGACACATTTCCTTCACTTGGTTAATTGCCTTTTCTTGGTTTTCTTTAAGGGATTTGTTAGTATCTTCCAATTTTTTTTGTCTTTTCCTCTATTTCTTTAAGTGAATTTTTCATTTCCTTTTTAAGGGCCTCAATCATCCTTATAAAGTTATTTTTCAGGTAATGTGATGCTCAGGACTTGGTGTTGTAGCACCACTAGTTTCTAGTAGTGCCATATTGGTCTTTATACTGTTGAATGTGTTCTTACTCTTGTTGTCTACACATCTCTTCCTGTAATAGGTATAGGTGGAGCTTCTGCTTCAGCAGGTCTCTCTCTCCCATTGGTATAGTTGGGGGCGTGGCTCCATTGACTGCTCCTTCCTGCACAAACAGAGCAGAGCCTCTGGTGAATGCTTCTCCTGGTAGAAGAAGCTGGGCTTTTGAGTGAAGCTGCTCCAGACCAGAGGTTCAATCCTCTCTCTGCCACTGCTTCCAGGCTGGGGTTCAGGCCTCACACTTGCAGGAGCATAGTAAACCAGACGAAAACATTCCTTAGACACACAAAGTGAAATTGTAACATGAAAAATACAGACCCTCTCATAGGATTCAGAATTAACTCTAAAGGAAGAGTTAACTCTGACTCTTAAGAATTAGTCAAGTGGCAGATTTTTCAATACTGATAAAATGGAATTCACAGTGTAGCAGGATTATATGTAATTATTAAATTATCTAAGTGTTGAGGGTAGTGTGCATATTTACAGAAATCCAAAAATTGGTTTAGTCATAATAGCTTCCTCAATATTATAATGAATTTCAGGAAATATCATTTAGAGAGTGCATCAAAAGGAATGGTTACTAGGAACTTAGGATACATATATACATACATACGTACGTACATACATACATACATACATACATACGTGTGTGTGTGTGTGTGTGTGTGTGTGTGTGAGAGAGAGAGAGAGAGAGAGAGAGAGTATGTATTCTTGTCTCCTATGGCAATAAATTCCACTAGATAAAAGATCCCTGGTGCAAGGAGCTTACTGTTGAAATTTGATTAGGGCAGAAATGGAAAACACTATCCAGAACCTGTTTCTTAGCAGGTTTCTACTTAGGGAGACATGAGGTAAACTGGGAACCTTGGGATGGGGTTCACAATATCTTGGAAACGTATCTTGTGATGCATAAGATAGCTGGGTTATTTATTCTCCAGTTCCTGTTTTGATGTTGACTGAGATTTATTCTCAGTGCTTCTGACTTGATCCCTGTGGCTATAGGGAGAATAATAATAATACTTAAATTGTTACAGCAGGTATCCTGGGCAAACACAGGAATAAAGAGCATCAGGAGAACTATGAACAATATATTAAATAAAAAGTGTTCTTTAGCCAATTATCACAGTTATAAGATATATCTGATCTATTTACCCTCTATCATCTATCTATTTTCTATCATCTATTAACCATCTATATTATATTAACCTATTTACTAACCATCTATCTATCATCTGTGTATCTGTCAGTTATATCATCTATATCTACCTGCGTTTACATAGCTTTTATATAAAGCAAAAGGAAGTTCAAAGGGGGTATTGTAGTAATATCAATATCATCATCTTTGCTTTTTGTTATTTTTAATTTCATTTTGACACAATGTATATGATCTCTCAGATTGCTGTCTTTATAATCTTGATCACTTATTAGACAAAAATAAAAGGCTTACACATTCGAACATAAGCACCATAGGAATTATGATCTATCGCTTATTATTTATCTCTCTACCATCTATCAATAATCTGTAATCTTCACCATCAAAATGCATCTGTCTTGCCATGTATCTATCAATTCATCTACCTACCCACCAAACCACCTACTTATTTATCTATATACCTATTTTCTTAGTTATTATTTATTTATTTTATACTATGTTCCAAAAGGCAATGTGGGAAATAACTTTATGAGAAGGATTAGAATTAAAATGTAAATGAAGTGAATATAAAATGTTTTTAAATGTGAAATTTTGGAAAGCAATGTTTTATCTTCCTTTCTGAAAAATGTCACTTGATCATAAACTTTTGTTGTTTATAGAAAGTTCCCAGGAGAAGATACCAAATTTGGGTTTTATTCCTATGTCATGTAGTTTGGTTGATGAATTTACTGGAGACATTTTGAAAGACTTGCCTTTCCTAAAGAGGTAAGTCCTCCATACGTTTTAATAACTACTTGTTTGAAATGGGTAGCAGTTATTTATTAAATATTCTTTGAGAAAGCCTTGTCTGAATAAAACACTTAAGATAGTAAATTACATGCAATGCATATTTGCAACATATTGCCCATTAACCATCTTTATGACAGCTGTATGATTTCAATTGTAAAACAAAGTACTCCACCACTATTTTTAAATTAATGGAAAAAGGGATGTTTGAGAGTGTCAGAGCCATGGAGTGGTCCTGGTTTCTGAAGCTTCTAATAAAATGCCCTTTGCATTCTACCACACATGTTGTATCCCAGAGAGATGAGAAGGACTGCAGTTTTAAAAGTAACAACATGTGTTGGATTTGGAGGCATGGAATTTGAAATATGCTTGCATTTTTTTTGTCTCACAGTGATGATCCCATTGTTACCTCACTGGCTAAGCACAAGGAATTTGATGAGCTTGTGCACTGGCATTCCCACAGACCCCTCAGTGATGATTATGACAGGACCAAGACCAATTTTGATGGTGAGCTTGCTGATTCTGCTCAAATAATTCAAATCTACTTCACTTTTTTTTTTATGAAAGACACATCATGAAAACAAATCAAAAGTTCTGAGGAAGAACAGACAACACAACATTGAGATGGATAGCAGCAAGGATGATAACAGAGAATTCTCCCTTTGTTTCCTGGTGGTTGCTCATTGGCAGGTTGTAGGTGTCTTAGGCAGAGGCAACATTAGGCGACATTAGGGAAAGATGGTTTGTGATTTAAGAGATCTGTAAGGAAATAGGGGGGAGAATTGGGGTAGGTGCATTACATCTATTGTCAAAGGACACATTTTTAGTATCTGCTTCTGGAAACAGGCAGTGAAAACTTGTTTTAAAAGGATATGAGATGCTGGGAGTTGGTGGCCAGTGGTAGAACCCTTGACCTGAATGCGTGAAATCCTATGTTTAACCCTACAGGCAACATATGTATCTATGTACACACAGACACACACACACATAATTGAAAAATTGCCACTTTTGTAGATATGTTAAAAGTTATACTATGGATGAGATAGCTCAGTTTAAGATACCTCCTTTTGCCAAACTGATCAAACAAAATTGCTATTCTCTACTAGAAAGAATCGTGCCTGTATATGGGATGGTGTGAAAAGTTAGAGATGCTGTTGAGAAATATTAATCATTTTACATTTTAAGTTTTTTCTTTTTCAGAGCATTCAAGAGACCCCCGTCAACTTAGGAGTTTGCAGAAATACCATGTTTTTCAACGATTTTATGGGAGCTCGTTAGAATCAGTCTCCTCCAAGATCATCACAACTCAAGATACTAAGACGAAGAAGGATTGTAGTAAGTCCAGGAGCACAAAGACGCATGTAAGTTTCTGTAAATTCTATCATCATAAACAGCTCTTGCTGCAGGGGATCAGTGTTTATCACTAGTGCATGGACTTTGGGAGCCCATTCCCTATGGAGGGATACTTTCTCAGCCCAGATACACGGGGGGAGGGCCTAGGCCCAGCCCCAAATTATGTGACAGGCTGTTATTATCTCCAATGAGGGGGGCCTCATCCTCCCTGTGGAGTGGACAGGGAAGGAGGTGGGATGGGGGGTTGGTGGGGAGTATGGGAGGGCAGGAAGGAGAAGGAACTGAGATTGGTATGTAAAATAAGATTGTTTTTAATTTAAATATAAAGCAATTCTTGCTGCAATTCTTTATTGAATTTGTGTTTGCTCATCCCATTGGTGGCTTCTTTCCATGAGATACCTTCCTTTTTCGTACAGGTGTAGGGAATGAAATAACAGTCTTAGGTGTTTGAATGTGTGGCTCCCAGCTCGCTGCACTGTGTGGACAGGCTTGGGAGGTGGGCCTTGTTGGAGAAAGTATGTCACTGACATCTAACTGTGAGAGTTTAAAGCCTTGCCATTTTGAGTCTACTCTCTGTTTCCTGGTTGCAGTGTAAGATACAAACTTTCAGGGAAAGCTCCAGGTGCCATGCTTCTGCACTGCCATCATGGACTCTTACCCATCTGGAATCTTAAGCTTAGATAAGCTCTTTCTTGTATAAATTGTCTTGATCATGGTGTTTTATTACAGCACAGAAAAGTAACAAACATAAAAAAACAACCACATTTGTTATGATACCTGATAAGAAAGTCTAACACGCATATAAATTGTTACCTATGATCCTCTCTGTGCAATAGCATATACCTATTTAGAGAAGCAAATACAGCACTAAGTGACTAAAGGCTTGACTCCAAATTTTGCAATAATATGAAAATGTATGTTATTAGCTAATAACAATCAGAATGTTTTTCCTAAATGAAACAAAAATAAACATAAAACACATGGGTTTCTTTGCTTGATTTATACAGATTTTCTACACTTTTCTCAAAGTATTGAAATAATTAATGCATTCACTGTTTTTATTTTCAGATACAAAGTTAAAGCTATTCATTTCCTTTTTTCTGCCCAAATTACTTCCCCTTAATTTTACTATTTATCCCACTGATATTATTTTTTATTACTTCCCATCCAAAGGCCATAATTAATGATAAAATACAGGAGATGAAGAGTAAAGTATTACTATCACTATGTGAGAATTGCATGTTTCTATTTCTGATATTACCCTGTAAATATAGATTATATTTTAAAACTGGACTTATTAATTTTACAAAGGTGAAGGTCATACTTTGAACATTTGGCAATTCATGAGCATTTATGGGCTCCAGAGCTAAGGATCTGAAGAAGGCTCTTATTTCTTGCGAATGTATATATGTTTCTCTTATTGGTGATGAATAAAACACTGTGGCCAATAGAAGCAGGGACATAGGTGGGACAAGGAGACCAGGAGAATTTTGGGAAAAGTAGGCAGATAAGGCCTGACAGAAAGAGACGACTGAAGGAGTAAAAGGTCTAGACCCTTCTCCGGTAAGATAAGACCACGTGGAAATACTTAGATTAATAGAAATGAGTTAATAATTAAGACAGAGCTAACCGATAAGAAGCCCTAGCCATTGGCCAACAGTCTTATAACTAGTATACTGTCTGTGTGCTTATTTGGAGCAAGGCGGTTTTGGGGCCAGACAGAACAAAAAAACTGACAGCAACAGTTTAGCACACCCAACTGACAGGGATTATGATAGGTTGGCATTGTCAAATAGAGTTAGCATGACAAAATCTATGAATATCTCACGCATACAAAACACAGCAAGATTTTTTTTTGAGACAAGGTTTCTCTGTGTAACTTTGGAGACTATCCTGGCACTCACTCTGTAGCTCACAGAGATCTTCTTGCCTCTGCCTCTCAAGTGATGGGATTAAAAGTGTGCTCTACCAATGTCCAGCCACAATAAGATTCTTAAACTCTCTTTTCTGGATACTGATGTTTAGGAAATGTTTAGCAAGACTAAAAAAAATAAAACTAAGTGCTATTTCTTTGCCAGGTATCTAACTAATTAATAAACAGTTCTCTCATATAATGGTTAAGATAGCACAAAACTTCACAGAGTACCTGATGTTCATGCTAGTGTGAGTTTTCCCCCCTTGACCTTTCTCACAGGTTTGCTGAGGAATGGTGACTAGCTCTGCTTTTGCTTGACTCATCAAGAGAGAGCTCCTAAGCTCCTGCTTGCCATCATTGTCCCTTTCTTAGGCAGTCAGTACCTTTTCAATTTTACACCCAAATTGATGAAACTTTTCCTGTTCATTTAGGAACATCAAGAGGAGGAGGAAGAGGGGGAGGAGAAAGAGGAAGAGGAGAAGAATAAGGAGTAAAAGAGGAGGAGTCCCTTTCTGCCTCCTCTTCCTCTTCCTTCCCCTCCTCCTCCTATTCCTCCCTCTGGCTGTCTCTGCTACAAAATAACAAACTGGAAAAATTTCTCAACACAAGTAGATGGAAAGAAGTATAAGCTTCAACATTTCCAGTCTTCAAAATTAAAACTACTCGTTAAAGAAATTCAACACTATTACTATTTGATAAATGTACTCTATGACCAACAGTGTAATAAGTCTTCACATTTGAGACAAAGGGAGCAGTGCACTTGATAGAAGTCTCAGGCTCCCTATTGTCCTGTAGAAAAGAACTATGGCAAATGGACCAATAGGGAACACCTACTTGAAAGTTTAAATGATCACAAACCTCAAATGTTACTGATTGGCATTAGTTTGAGAATGTGACCTTTAAGGTTAACTTTTAGATATGAATTCCACAACTAACCTGAAAAATGGCATTTTTGTCAGAATTCTTTTGCTAATGTAATTCTTTAATTTGTCCATTTAAAATTATTTATTGTTTCTGTGTGTTTGTATGATGAGTATATGTGGCAAGTGTCATGGTGTGTATGGGGAGGTAAGTGTGTGCGTGGGGTAAGCAATGGCATGTATGTGGATGTCAGTGCGGGGATGTCATAGTATGTATGTGAAGATCAATGCAGGGAAACATAGTATGTTTGTGAAGGTCAATGAGGGATGTCACAGCATGTATGTTGAGGTCAGTGGGGGATGTCATAGAATGTATGTTGAAGTCAATGGGGTTGGTATAGCATGTATGTTAAGGTCAATGCAGAGTGCCATAGTATATATGTGGAGGTGAATGGGAGTGTCACATATGTATGTGAAGGTCAATGGATGTGTTACATATGTATGTGACGGTCAATGGGTGTGTTACATATGTATGTGGAGGTCAATGGGCATGTCATAATATGTATGTGAGGGTCAGAAGAAAGCTTTGTGGAATCTTCTCCTTGTATTTTTACATGACTTCTCAGGATTGAACTCGAGCATCAGTTATTAGCTATATAATTTGATCATGTAAAACCACAGTAAAAGTGGGCCTGTATTATATTTAAATCATTTCAAAACATTTCCTTAGGAAAGGCAAATCATTTGTATATATGATGATTCCTATCCACTCCTTGCTTTCAGACCCTTTTTCTTATTTACTCATTAAACATGGTGAATTAAATGTCTTTAGTTTGGAGAATCCTGGCAACTTAAGTGCAAATTTATCTCAAGTCTCTCAATCTAGGGAGGAAGAATGGTGCTTATCGGTACAGCATGAGTACCAGGACAGGTGCTTGCCTGAGGAATTAGACATTATAATTAGGCATGAGATTCAGAGAGGGATTGTGATAGAAACATCATGATCACCTAAGAAGTAGGATGGTGGCTTGGTTGGAAAGGTAGCAGAAATGCAGTTCCAGACAGAGTAGTAGGTACCACTGCATGGAGACAAGAAAGAATCTTTGCAAACTCTCTTTTATTTTAGTTACTCTTACCTTTTCAATTTAACACTACATTGAAATTTAGGAAATCATCTACAGAAAATCTTTACATTCACTGAGTTGAATTATTATGTTTTCAATCAACAGAGTTTTAATTAGAAAAAAAAACATATTTTTATAACTACTCATTATGGGATGGAATGATGGTCAAAATCATTAGTGCCTACTTAAAATAGCATTTCACTCATGAAATGTCAATCTGGAGTAGTTCTATCTTGTCATAAGTTGTGTTTCTCTCCATTTGGGCAGGAGACCAAGGCTGACATAATTGCTAGAGAGAATAAGAAGAGGTTAATTGCCAAGGAAGAACAAAAAGAAGAGCAAAAATGGAATGCCCTGTCATCTTCTATTGAGAAGGAGATGAAAAGGAATTTGAACTCTGGAATGAAGAATCTGGAAGAGTTTTTGAAATCTTGTAAAAGTAACTCAGTAAAAGTTCAGGCTGAAAAAGTAGGGTTAACGGCTTGCTTGACAGCATGGAGGGAGCACTGCCAAGCTGAAGGTGCGTGGCTTGTAATTTTGTTGGCTTCCCTTGATGAAATGGACAGTTCAAAGTGATGTAATGACAGTGGCTTGTTACCTGCTAGAAATTTGTATAGAAAGACTCATGAAGGATTTTTTCTATGTTTCTATCAATGAGCAATGACATCCCAGAGAGGTGCCCAATGGCAAAAATGTATCACATTCATAAACACAATTAAAGATAGATTTTGAACTAACTGCTGAGAAGGCAAAGAGCATTGTTAGTGTTAGTAGAACCAATAGCATGCAGAGCAGGGATGTGTCATTCACTTTTGAGTACTGAAATACAACATTGTCCTTCTGGATAATTTCTGTTCATGCTTGCCTGTTAACTTAGTTTTCCCCTTGGTTGCTGTAATAAAAAAACAAACAAACAAAAACCTTTGAAAAAAGCAACTTAACAGAGAAAGGGTTTATGCTGTCCAGCAGCTCAAGGGTACAGTTCATTGTTGGGGAGCACAGAACATATATCAAAGTATCAGGAGTTTGAAACAGCTGGTCACATCATATTCACAAATAGGAAGGCACAGAGTGATGGATGGATGAAGGCATGCTTAGATCAGTGTGTCTTTTATGTAAACCAACATTTCTGTAGAGGACTTGGTTCCACTCACAATTAAGATGGACTTTCTTGCATCGATTAGCCTAATAAAGATAATCCTTTACAAGCATGTTCAGAGGCCTGTCCTCCAGGTGATTCTAGATCCTGTAACATTTACACTCAACACCAACCACACAGACTTCAACACTGGTCCCCCCCTAACATACAAACTTCTTCCAAAGTCAGTGAGGTAATTCCACGTACCCTCCTTTACATTTCTATGGAGGGAAACAGGATGAAACATGGAAAGAGGATGGTAAGAATGAAGTAGGTCTGAATAGGTAGAGATATGTAAACTGGTTAGAGATGTATGATTTACCTTAGCATACATTAATTGTTCTTTCCAGCAACAACACTGAATCAGAATTTGCAGCTGGATGCTACTGACAGAGATCAGAATTTAGATTGGCTTAAAAAATATAGTGCTTTATTTCATTTAGAGATTGCTTGTAGGCACTGTAGACTGTCTGCAGAGTCCTTGCTGGGATTTCCAGGTTCTTCTGTCCAGCGACAAGAAATTGGACAGGTTCCATTTTTTAGTGGTAGAAGTGGAGACAGACTCTTAAGAAACAAAATACTTCTAGGAAAGTTCAGAAGTTCAATGTCGTTGTGCCTATGACTAGAGTTGTGACCTTTTATAAGTCATTCACATGGATCTGGCTTAAACCCTATTTGTCATTTGTACATTGAAGTGTTTTCAGATTTATGTGTGTGTGTGTGTGTGTGTGTGTGTGTGTGCGTGTGCGTGCATGTCTGTGTGTGGTGTCCACAGATACAGAAGAAGGCATCATATTACCTGAAGTTGAAGTTTCAGGTGGTTGTGAGACATCTGACATTGTTGCTGGAATCTACCTCTATAAGAGTGGTGACTACTCTCACCACTGAGCCATCCTCAGACATCCTTAGAACTTAGTCACAGGCGATTTCCCACGAAGAGGACCAGGAAATGCATACTTTTACCTAAGTATGTGGAATTCCCAATACCACAGAGACATAAATAAGGAATCTTTGTAACTACATGGTGGATAGAAAAATTAAGAATAGTAACTGCCACAGATTCCCTTGTCCTAAATTTTCACACAACCAGATTTTATTTGTCCTCTTTATCCATGTGGAGGATGGATATATTCTTCATATATTCCTACATGAAATATCCTTCCATAGAATCTTGCTTAGGTATTAGACTCACACAAAGCCTGTGGTTTCTAATGCTCAGTGTGGACCAATCGTGTATCATATACAGAATACTCCGAAGTGAAAGGCCTCTGTTTTGTTTACTTAGTATCCTTTCGTATAACAGCTTTCAGTATGGAATTGGCAGTACCTGTCTAATAGGTGAGAAAGGGCACCAACTAAAACCAAAACAGATGTGAGAATGAGTAGGCTAGCAGAGGGGGGAAATAAACAGTGGGACAGTACTAGAGAAGTGGAGAGGTTGTGGGAGTCTGGATCTGATAGCTGGAAGAGATGGATCGCACTGCATGAACAGACTCACGAGGGCTTACATCCAGTATTTCTCCATGGACAATAGAGCTAACGGATGTTGCTAAGGTTATAGTCTTATGTTTAAAATCATGCAATTATTTTCTTTTAACAGAGGAGACATTGCAATAAGAGATAGAGAAAAGCTTTATAATTCACCATACAATTCTACAGACTTCAATTTTAATAATATTTTAATGGTGAACTGTCAGATTTTTATCTAGTCCTTTCTATTCTCAAACATCCATTACAGGCGAGTAAGATAGTGAGTTTTACTAAGCATAGTGAAGATTGACAGGCTAGATGATTGATCTTTGTAATAAAAATTTGTTATTTTGATGGCTTTTATAGCAATTTCATTATTTATATTTTGTACCAAGGTGAAACCACAAAGGACTTGAACATAGCCATTGATATGATGAAGAGAATTCACTCCTTGTTGGACAAACACTCTGAACTTCTGCAAGAAGCAGACCGGAAACTCATAGCTAGATGTCTTACATATTTAGGGTTTGATGAGCTAGCAAATTCTTTGTATCCAACTCAGGTAACATATTGTGTTAGCTTCATTGTAACTCAGCTTCTATTTGTTATACATAAAGTGTCCTTCATATACTGTTATCTTTTTATGTTTATTTTTAATAAAATGTCAACTTAATTAATCCAACTGCCAAAAGTTGAATTAATCAAGAATAATAATTTTCTACACAGCTTAACTATAACATTAAATTTCAGATGATTTCTATAGACTTTCAAAACTAAGCCAATACTAAATTCTAACAAAACAGCTCAAATCTACAGTAGTGTTGGCTTATTTTAATATGTCATCCACTGATTTATTTGTATTTCACAAAAGTGAAAATGTCTTCATGATGTTTAAAGGGTGATTAAATTTGTTTTTATATAGAAGAGATTCAATCGTAAACATTTCAATTATTTATATGCTGATATAACTTCAATTGTTTTCAAAACAATCTTTTAAAACAATACAGGAAGCAGCAGATGACATAAAAAAGACAAAAAAGAACAAATATTCTGTTGGAATTGGGCCAGCTCGGTTTCAACTAGAATATATGGGACACCATTTGATACGAGAAGAAAGAAAAGACCCAGACCCTAGGGTCCAAGATTTTATTCCTGATACATGGCAGGTAAAAATAGGAATAGAAATAGTTCACATATTTTGTAGTCATGTATGCATCATGGAGTTTCTTACTATTAAAGCTCTCTTTCTATGTATATATGTTTATATTCATATTTGTATTTGTCATGGACTTCAAAATATTGAGATATTTCATTTAAAAGTCATTTCACTTAAAATTCATCATTATTTAACATGTCTCATTTGGACTAAGTTTTTCCATTCCAATTAAAATTTTCATTTACTATGTAGGCCATTTCCTCCATGAGGTATTGAATGAATTTGCAAACATAGATTCAAATGATAAAGTTGTCTGTGCTATATAGCTATTATCATTCTGTATCCAGCTTCAAGTTTTCTCTCTGTCAATAGAATTTTCTATGTAAACAATATAAGTACTCATGAAGAAATTCAGGTAGTTTAAACAGTGGGAAAGTTGTTTATGTATTTACAGTCTGTACACGCTGCCATTCTAGCTATATTTCTGTAAACACATATAAGGTAAATGTTGATGGCTACAGAATTTGGAAATAATCACTTCTGCACACATTGAAATATATGTACACACACACACACACACCTATCACAAGTTGAACAATTTTGTAGGTTCAGTCTGACTGGCTGTCCCACTCAGCCACTTGTCAGTAATGTAATGAAAAACTTGAGGCAGCTTAGCTTTAATGTAAAGATGCTTATTTGCCTTCCATTTCTGCAGTTTCAACACCAGAGATCGGATGGCTCCATTGGTGTGGCTTCCAGTGCCAGCTTGACAATAGAATAGCTTCACGTTGTGGTGGGGCAGCTTGTGTAAGAAAGAATAACACTGAATGCAGGAATCAGGGAAAACTAGTTGGGCCTAGGACTTGCATAGCAAATGTTTTACTTAGCAAGGCTGTGACTCATCGTGACCTATAGAACTCTGAGTATACTCCACTTATTAAACTTTTCAATTCCTGCAAGTATCTTCAACTCGGAGACAAGATTCTAGGATTCCCAGGGGACATGAAGCCATATGCAAACTGGAGCATGGAACTTTCCTTATGCTGTTAATGGTGGGGTTCCTTTACAAAATGCTGATTTTCCATGAGCAAAGGACAAGTTACTTATTTCAATGTTGGTTACAGGGCAGTCAAGTCTACTCCTACTTTCCATACACCTCCTAATTCTTTCATGCCCTTTTCATTCTGGAGTGTGGCATGTAGGGAGGACTAGATTCACTGGGTGTGCAGGTTGGGATTTTAGCGAACTTTCTGTTTTCTGTACTTCACATAGGTTTCCATTCTTTTGACTACAAATTATGTTGGTGAATAAAATCATAGGATGCAAAGATGATGCTCCCAAATAGTGGCCCATCGAGGGTAAGCGGCAAAATGGAGAATCTTTGCTTCAACCACTGGCTTACTGCCATAAAAATATGGGTTGGCTGGCTCCAGTTCCGACAATTGGATTTCTCAAAGATACTCTGTACTCCTATTAAAAACAACCTTCATAATAGCATAGTAACACAATTTTGAGTCATTTTTCTTTTTATTATTATATATATATATATTCATTGCACAAAATAACATGTTGCTTTGTGGTCTTTTCCTCCACATATGTTGTGTGTTGGGATCACAGTTCCATCAATATGCGCCCTCCTCATTGGCTCCTTCTTTTTCCTGAATAGTGTCCCTTTTCTGTGCAGTTCAACTTAGTCTTTTGGCTCCATTGTCATGTGTACGATTCATCTCGCAGCCGCTCATAAGCAAACATCACATCATTTGCGGGAATGAGTCGTCTATCGGGGTTTCCTTTTTCATTTTTCTGTGAGTCTGCGGCTTTCCATCACTGAGGTTCAGAAAAATCATAACCGAGAAAGACTGATCTGTTTGGGTAGCATGTGGCTGGTTTGATTGACACAAATCATGATCTGACTCCTGCAGCGAGAGCTCCTTGATGTGGTGGATAACTATGAGTCTGCAGTGATTGTTGCCCCCACATCCTCTGGCAAAACCTATGCTTCCTACTACTGCATGGAGAAGGTGCTCAAGGAGAGTAATGAAGGCGTGGTTGTGTATGTTGCACCAACAAAGGTAGGGAATCCAGTGAATGTTGTAGTTTTCTTCATTCCAGAACTTACTCAGAAATATTAGACATGGTTGTGTGGTAGATCTAGTTCCCTTTATTTTTGTTTTCACCTGTAAAAATTAACAGATAAAGTAACGGGCTTCGTAATAGAACTTTGTAGATAGCTTTTGGGGTTTTTTGACCTTTCTTCACCATTTCCCTCCCCTATGATGTAATACCCCTACACTGCTCCACTTTATTTTCATATAACTCCCATTCCACGTTCAAGTCACATATATTCTATTATCTTATTTCCTTCCCCCCTTATTTTCCCTCCCATGATTCCCCTTCTAGTTTCATGACCTTTATATACCCACTCTCACCCACATTATACATATAACTAAAAACTAAATTTTATGATCCGTATATAAGAGAAAATGTGATATTTGTCTTTCTGAGTTTGTGATATTTTTGCTTAATATAACATTTCCGAGCTCCATCAATTTCACTGTGAACAACATTGTTTTGTTTATTTATATTTGTATACTTTCTTTTTCTATTAATTTGTTGATGGACATCAAGGCTGCATCTATTTCCTAGCTACTGGAATAGAGGAAATAGAAACTTGGATGTGCATATATCTCTGTAGTAAGATAGAAGACCTTGGGTATATACACAGGAAGGGGTGATATAGCTAGGCCATGCGGTAGTTTTATTTTTAGTGCTTTTGCTTTGGGAAAGCTCAAGAATGATTTTTATTTTGGGTATACCAGTTTAAACTCTTAGCTTTCCACTATTCCCTCCCCAACTGTTAGCATTTTTCTTCTTGATTTGCCCATTCTAATTGCTGTGAGATGGAACCCCAAATCTTTCTTGAGATTCCTTTTGTTATTGAGTGAGCTTTTGCTACAATCAGAGGTAGAAGTTTTAGATGTGCATTTTTATATTTGCATATTAGATGTACATTTCTTTTACTAGTGATTTGGGTGATATTATTATGCATGACATCTGGTCCTTGGTACTTCTTTATTCACGATGCATTTGAGGATACATTTGCCTACTTTTTTATAATGGAGGAGTTGGTCTTTTTGCTAATTCATCAACTTTTGTGTAATACATGATACATCTTTTTTTTGAACCACAGTGAAATACATGTTCATGGATCAGGCTATTACCTTAGCTTATTTCAGTTATTCATTCCAATGACGGTATTAAAATCTTCGTGTAATCAAAACTATCTGCATTTTCATTTGAGGCTGTCTTCATTAATGTTCCTATTGCTGTGATAAATAACCATGACCAAAGAAACTTGGGAGGAAAAGGTTTATTTCAGCTTATGCTTTCACAGTATGGTCCATTACTGAGAGAATCAGGGTATGAGCCCAAACTTCGTAGGAACTTGGATGCAGGAATTGATGCAGAGGCCATCGAGGTGTGCTGGGTTGTATCTCCCTCATGGTCTGTGCATCCTGCTTCGTTATAGCAGCCAGGACCACTAGCTTAGAGTGACACTGTCCACAGTGTACTGGGCCCTCCCACATCAATTATTAATCAAAAAAGTTAGCCACTGGCCAATCTGGTGGGATCAGATCTTTCCTAGTCCCAAGTGACTAAAGTTTGGGTCAAGTTGAGATAAAACCAGCCAGCACAAAGGGGTTGTGTGTTCAGATACATTAAAATAACTGGAGTATCAGCACTTCACCTAATTGGCATGTACTTTTGGGAGTATCAAGCATTTAACGGGTGTTTGAAGTTTTATAGATTCCACTGGCCATGCTACCTGCCTTATCCTGAGTGAGACTATGCAGATTCCTGTTTGAAGTCAAGCTTCTGACATCTGGGGGAGGTTCTGAAATAGGAAATAGAAATCTGTTTGAGCTTCTACCTGTGATAGACTCAGATTATAAGTGGTGGTTATTCAATTGTTGTGCTATATGTGTCATTTTTCTGCTATAAAGGATATACTTGCCATTTCACACAAATGCTTTCTTTTTCTGTTTTACTGTACATTGTTGTTAATCAAAGAAGTTCAGACTTTTAGTCCAACTGCTCAAAGGGAGAACTTTTTAGTGTAGACTGGATAGAGGAAAGGGTTTGTTATGTTTTTCTGCATTCATAGCAGATCATGTTTTGGATATCTCTGTCATTCTATTAAGTTTTGCTGATCTATGCTTTATTATGTAACTAATACATCTGTTTTCCTGTCAACCAGGCACTTGTTAATCAAGTGGCAGCAACTGTTCAAAATCGTTACACCAAAATTCTGCCCGCTGGTGGAGCTCTGTGTGGTGTTTTTACTAGGGACTATCGTCATGATGCCTTGAACTGCCAGGTTTGACACACTATTTAATAAATGTGATATCAGATTATACCACAATGTTACATCTTTTCAACTAGGAATCTAACATCTTCACAAGGCTTGTGAAAATAATATCCTTGAATTTGTGAAGGTCAAAACTGCTTCAGAGAAAATATAAATTGGCTACATTCCAAAAAATGTGAAAAATAGAACTCATTTCTCTAAAGATGCTTTTGCTTGATTTAAACTTTTAGTTTATAGGTCATTTATCATGTTGCTTTACAGTGGGATTCAAAATGATCCAAAGATCTTTACAAGCTATGAAAACATTGGACAGCAATGTATTATCATAATTACTTTCTCTTGTTAAAGATACTTATTTTAGCCAAAAAATGTTGTGTTATAGTTAATGATGTGTTGTTAATGAAGTTATAGTTTTCTTTCTTACTGTCAGTAATTATGATAAACTGAAAAACTAGACATGCTTGTGGAGCATTATGTAGTATACTTAGCAGTATGCTGCCTGGATTGCCTTTCAAAGAAATGTCATCCAACACAAATTCCCTGTTAGTGTTAGATTTGAAAGCACCTACCCCATTTTTCCCATCCCTTTACGCCCTGCAACCCCTCTCTGTGGGGGTGTGGCCTTGTGAGCCGCTTCCTCATCCTCCCTTGATCAGTTTGATTGGCTTGATTTTTTTCTGCAGGTCTTGAACTACTGCGAGTTCATGAGTGGAACTGTCACAAGATGGCAGCTCGCAATACTCTGCCTGTTCCCCTGGCTCTCTCATTCTTTCCATCTCCTTCACTGATCCTTGGGTTGGGAAAGAGGTCAATGCGGTGTCCCACGTAGGGCTGGACACAGTTTAGAGCTCATAAACAAGAATCAGCACTCAGATTAGATATTTTACTATTTTGTCCCAGGAAAATTGAGTTTTCATGTGGGTCAAAGTAATATCACAAGTGTAACTTAGAAGTTGCATCAGATCCTAATTATGAGAAGACACATTCAGGACTCACAAGCTTTGCTTCTTGTAGTTTGATGCCTGTGCACATGTGTTTCTTCACACAATGCTGTGTTTTTAGGTGCTTGTTACAGTGCCTGCCTGCTTTGAAATCCTGCTACTGGCTCCTCATCGCCAGAGCTGGGTGAAGAGGATCAGATACGTTATATTTGATGAGGTAGGTTTGATTTCACTTCTCTGGCTCTCTTCCCAGTGTTCATAACTACTGCAAGTCTTTGATGCTTTGAGGCATGTGCCCCTTGGATGGGGCTCAGGTTTGGAGGTGATTTTCTTCTGACCATTTTTCCCAGCTGAATTACCCTTCTGGCTCAATTCTGTTGTGACTCAATGGTGTAGAGTGGTGAGAGAGTTCTGCATGTGTGAGGAACTGGTCTTCATTGGGGATGCTGTTGTGGAGGGAACAGAATTAAAGCGATGACACAAGTGTACATTGATAGAAATTCAAAATCCAGTCTGGTCTCCAAAGCAGAGGTTTCCACACACCAGCAATTGATGCCAAAGACCCAAACAATTCTGTCCATCATGACTCTGAAGGAAAATTAACAGCCTATTCAAAATACTATTTTTTCTTTTTCTTTTTAAATTTAAATTTAAATTAGAAACAAGGTTGTTTCACATGCCAATCCCAGGTCCCTCTCCCTTTCTCTCCCCTCCTCCCACAACCTCCCACCAACCCCCCAAACTCCCTCCTTTCCCCAGGAAGGGTGAGGCCATCTATGGGGGTGTCCATAGTCTGTCATTTCATCCATGGCAGGGTCTAGGCCCTTCCCCAAGAATCTAGGGTGAGAGAGCATCTCTTATTGTGGCATGGGCACCCAAAGTCCATTTGTGTACCAGGGATAAATACTGCTCTACTACCCAAGGCCCCATAGATTGCCTAGGCCTCCTCACTGGCACCCATAATCAGGGGGTCTTGATTAGTCCCATGCTAGATTCCCAGCCATCAGTCTGGGATTCAAGAGCTACCCCTTGTTCAGATCAGCTGTTTCTAGGGATTAAACCAGCCTAGTCTTGACCCTTATGCTTATCATTCCTCCCTCTCTGTCCCTGGTTCCTTGAGTTCAGCTCAGTGTTTAGTTGTGGGTGATCGCCTCTGCTTCCATCAGTCATTGGTTGAAGGTTCTGTTTCCCAGACTCTCTGGCATTGGGATTGTAGGCTGGCACTCACCTGATCCATGTCTAAAATCCATATGAGTGAACACATACCATGTTTCTCTTTTTGTAACTGGGTTACCTCACTCAGGATGGTTTCTTCTAGTGCCTCCAAATTTCAAGATTCCATTGCTTTTTTTTCTGCTGAGTAGTACTTCATTGTGTAAATGTACCACATTTTCTGTATCCACTCTTCAGTTGAGGGGCATCTAGGTTGCTTCTATTACAAATAATGCTGCTATGAACATAGTGGAACAAATGTCCTTGTTGTATGAATGTGCATCTTTTGGATATATGCCTAAGAGTGGAATTTCTGGGTCTTGTGGTAGGCTGATTCCCATTTTTCTGAGGAATCTCCATAGTGATTTCCAAAGTGGCTGTAGGAGTTGTCACTCCCACCAGCAGTGGAGGAGTGTTCCCCTTTCTCCACATCCCCTCCAGCATAAACTGTCATTGGTGTTTTTTATTTTAGCCATTCTGAAAGGAGCAAAATGGTATCTCAGAGTTGTTTTGATTTGCATTTCCCTGATGGCTAGGGACTAAGACACTTCTTAAGTGTCTCTCAGCCATTTTAGACACTTATTGAGAATTCTCTATTTAGTTCTGTTGCTCACTTGCTTGTTGAGTTCTTTAAAATTTTAGATATCAGCCCTCTGTCAGATGTGGGGTTAGCTAATATCTTTTCCCATTCTGTGGGCTGCCTTTTTGTCTTTCTGACTGTGTCCTCTGCCTTACAGAAGCTTCTTAGTTTCAGGAGGTCCCATATATTAATTGTTGACCTCAGTGTCTGTGCTACTGGTGTTATATTCAGGAAGCAGCCTGGTCTCCTGTACCAATTCGTTCAAGGGTACCACCCACTTTCTCTTCTAAGAGGTTCAGTGTGGCTGGATTTATGTTGAGGTCTTTGATCCATTTGGACTTAAGTTTTGTGCATGGCTATAGACATGAATCTATCCGCATTCTTCTGCATGCAAGCACCATTTGTTGAAGATGCTTTCTTTATTCCATTGTATATTTTTAGCTTCTTTGTCGAAGATCAGATGTTCACACATGTATGGGTTAATATCAAGGTGTTCAGTTCTATTCCATCAAAATATGGTTTTAGTAGTCTGTTTTTAAAAAGAGATTTGTGAATAAATCCTGAGTGAACTTGCTGTTAGACCAAAAGGGACAAGGGAAGGAAGTATTTGCTTTTGGTTCCAAAGGAGATTTTGATGGAATGGGCTATGTTTCAAGCAGTGTACCTTAGCTGAGGAGCACAGAAGCTTCAGGAAACCTGGGAGAGGACCAACAGAACGCAGACCTCAGCTTGCTCCCTCATCTTCTCAGACCTCAGCTTGCTCCCTCATCTTCTCAGACCTCAGCTTGCTCCCTCATCTTCTCAGACCTCAGCTTGCTCCCTCATCTTCTGACCTGTATCTCAAAGCTAGAGACCCAGAGGACACGGGAGGCCCTCTGAAGTTTGAAAGCAAAATAAAATAAAATAAAAAGGAATTATGGGTGGATTGGTTAAAAATATTAAGAAAAATTCAAATGCCAAGATGTCCTATATATTTATTTTTCTAATAATTCTTTAAACTTGGCAGAGTTCATTAAAGGTGGTGGGAAATACCTTCAATCAACTTAAGATTTCATATATTATTTAATTTGCCATTCTTAAAACTATCCTGTCAATTGAAAACATTCTTTTCTTTTATAGGTTCATTGTCTTGGTGGAGAAATTGGAGCAGAAATCTGGGAGCATCTCCTTGTCATGATTCGATGTCCCTTTTTGGCACTTTCAGCTACCATAAGCAACCCGAAGCATCTTACTGAGTATGGATTAGAGTCCATTTTGGACAGAATATTTATCTGTTCTGAAAGTTTGGATTTCATAGTCCTTTATGGACTTTAGAGTAACCTCAATTTCTGGTTAACTCATAGCACTCTATTAATTTTCAAGCTATTGTCTATTTAGTTCTTTCTGACAAGTCTTGGCTACTCTTTACAAAGAAATATCCAGCACCCTTAGAGTTATATTTGCAGTTGAATAGTAAGTAATATGTCAAAGCTCAAAAATAAAATGATAGCTGTATATTCCTCCTCTTTTTCCAACCCCTCTTTACTAGGAAGCAAAAATCAAGGTGATAGAATGATATATTTAGCTATAGATTCCGAGATCATCCATTTTGTAGATGTATTGTCTAGAAAGGAAGCAAAGCTTTTTATTAGTTGAAAGCCACACATTTTGTCATTGGTCTTGAATATTAACTACTGATAACAACATATCCTATAGCATCTCCCATGTGTCCTATTCCTTCCTAAGTACTTTATATACAGAAATTTCTTAAATATCAATGTTTGATGTGCTACTATTTCCATTATTGTTAGATAATAGTATTTTTCTATTCTATTGATTTTTAAACATGAAAGGCAAGCACAGAAATGGTTCATGCAGGATTCAGAGTTAATAGTAAGGAAGCTAGAATTTTATTTCAGTTTATATGGCTCTATATCTAATTCCCTTCTGTGACAATTTTAAGACACATGAAGATTTTTGTATTTATTTAATTCCATTTAATTTATTTTTCTGCTCAAATAATACATGAGTTACATTTGTGTTGATGTGACCAAAAATACCTTCTGAGAGTTAAGTTATAGCTTTATTTAGACTCATGGTTTTAGAAACTAGTCAGCCCATCACAGTAGGAAAGGCAAGGAGGGAGGCTTCATCCATGGAAGTGGGAGCGTGAGGTAGCAGCTTGTTCACATGGCAACAGACAGGAAGCAGAGAGAACTAGATAAGAACCAGTGGCTAGCATAACCTTTGTGGCAGCCAGTGTTGATTGTCAATTACTCTTCCAAGTCTCACTGCTGGTTACCGAGTTCTGTTATGCTATTTCCACCTTCTAGTGGCTCCATAGATTTCAAAATAATACCAAAGACTGGGAACCAAGCATTTGAAACATGAACGACTGAGCACATTACTGACTGAAATTTTAAGTAATATGTCTATTTTTTAAAGGTGGCTCCAGTCAGTAAAGAGGTACTGGAAACAAGTAGACAGTGAAATGGGAAAAACAACTGTTACCAAGAGAAATACTGGCTCCCGTGGCAGCCATCCAGTGCAACCCAGACAGTCATACAAAGTTAGACTGGGTATGTATGCTCTTGTTTTCATTTGCTTTGGCTATTTTGCCTTAAAATTATTCCACTGATCACATTTTTGATCAAATGGAAAATATCTCTTTGCCCTTTCAGTGCTGTATGGAGAGAGATACAATGATCTGGAGAAGCATTTATGTTCTGTGAGACAGGGTGACGTTTGCTTTGATCATTTCCACCCGTGTGCTGCACTAACCACAGATCATGTGAGTAACAACCTTTGCCACAGCTGTTCCATGTAATAGCACTACCTGGGTTCGAACTGAAAATATAATACTTTGCAGAATACAGTGTAAATACTACGACTTTGATTTATAAATGAACAGCAGTGTTCTACTTTCCAAAGTTTGTAATGCAAAAAATAAAAGACACAGAGACAGATACAGTGGTTCAAGCTTTCGATCTGAAGATCCGAGAAGCAAAGCAGTCAAGCCAGTAGATCTTACCTCTACCAAGATGCAAATGCAATCCTGTCCCCACGAATCCTCAGAGGCAAAAAGCTCTGAGTTTCTGTCTCTTATTCTTATATTCTTTTCTCTGCCCAGCCATAACCTCCTGTCTCTACCTTCCCAGTGTGGTATGACAGCTGTGTGATCCAAGTGTTGGAATCAAAGGTGTGAGCTATGCTGCTCTTTATTCTTATGTAGGCTGTGGTGGCCCTGAACTCAAGTAGATCCGTCTGCCTGTCTCCCGAGTCCTGGGTTTGGGTGTATGCCACCATTGCCTGGCTATATGGCTTGCTAGTGTGACTTCTGGGATTAAAGGTGTGTATTACCATTGTCTGACCTCTATGCCTTGTGGCTAGCTTCTGTACCCTCAGGAAGTGTTAATAAATCATAAACAAACCAGGTGTTGGTGGTGCACGCCTTTAGTCCCAGCACTCGGGAGACAGAGGCAGGCAGATCTCTGTGAGTTCGAGGCCAGCCTGGTCTACAAAGTGAGTTACAGGATAGACTCCAAAACAATACAGAGAAACCCTGTCTTGAAAAAAAATCATAAACAATATATCACCAATAGTTTCTCAATATTCTGATGCTATTGGGATCCTCAAAGTTCAAAAACTACTACACACTTTAGCTCGATGGTTTTGTTAGTTTGGGGAAATTATTTCTGCTTGTCTCTCTTCACTAACTCATACTACTCACTTAGGAAATGTCGAGGATAGGGCTTAACCTCTCCTCTCAGTGCATCTATAGCCTTGTGCAGGCAAAGCCTCACACATGCAAGCATCACAGTTGTGTATGATCTGAATCCAGGATCACATGCTTCCCATTGCCCTAGCGATCAAGTTGTGACTCTTTGTTAATGAGTCAGCAAAGCAAAGACCTTGAAACAATGCCAGTGGGCTATTGAACGGTTAGTAGGGGATAGATAGTTCCTTAAATATTTCCTGCATATACCTGTTTTCCTTTCTCCTTCCTCTTCCTTGGAAGGATCATTTAAACTTGCATTAGCCCTTAAAATGATAGTCATACCTTCACTTTCCTCCCGAGACCTGGAAAATGAAGTATATTTTACATTCTGATACTATATTATGGCTCCATAATTATAATTCTATTCTTTAAACAGCTTTTCTGGACTTCTTCAGAAAGGGCTAAGCACACATCCCTTGACAGCTAATGTCTTTCAGGGGCTCTTCCTACTCTTCATTTATGGAATATCTTTTTGCTTCGAGGCCTTCATGCTATACCCTGTTCATCCCAAATGCCAAATGCTAGTGTCTGGATCTTGATTTTTATTTTGAAGCTCTTAAAATGTGGAGTCTTCTTAAGAACCTTGCGGTGGCTTCCTCAGCTGGCTGGTAAACTCCACAACACTTTGTGTTTATGCGCTAGCCAAGTCAGATGACCACTGAACATTCACCACTTGTCTTTTAGTGTTCTGAAATAACTGCTACAGGATGAATTTCATGTATGTCCAGTGACTAACACATTGTTGTGTGAACCCTGGCTGGTTTTAAAGGGTAGCTGATTGACATTATGCTTTTCAAATATTCACACATTTCGCCTGCTTTAACCATTACAATTGTATGATGGAGTTCCTACTACAGTTTTTATTTTACAAATAATAGAAGTAAGACCTAGACATCTATGTCACTACTATAGCACTAAAATATGGTACAGACCACCTATAATCTAAGACCCATTGATTAACTCCAAATTTATATGAAAGCTTTGTCTATCATATATAGTAATGCACCATATATATTATATATACATGCTCAAGTATATAATATGCTCACGTATATCATATATTCATAAATATACTCATGTATATTATATGCTCATGAATGTTATATGCTCATGTATATGCTCATGTATATCATATGAGCACCACTCTAGGAACAACACACTGTATTGTGTGTTCCTGCTGGACTGGTTTCCCTACCAGTCGTCAGTCTCCAAAGTCACTTACAAAATAATGACTCAGAGGCTAATATTAAACGTAATTGCTTGGCTGATGGCTCAGGTTTATTAATAGCTAGCTCTCTCTTATAAATTAACCCATTTCTACTAATGTGTATTGTCGCGTGGCCATGGAGATACCTCTGTTCTGGCATGTTTCTCCTTAGGCTGTTGCTGACAACTCATATTTCTCTTGACCCTGCCTTCTTCTCCTGTATATCTGTTTTGGATTTACTGTCTAGCTATATTATGCCTTGCCATAGGCCCTAACCCTAAACCCAACAGAAGGAAGGGATCACCGGTGAGGAATGGCCCTCAGCCATACGTGTCTAGTTTCTGGCAAACTGAGCCTTGTTTGACCTTTTCCATCAGTTGCCATGCCATCCACGCACAGCTGCTGCTGCCTGGAGAGCTGTCGGTCCCAGGAATCACTTGAAAGGACTGCCGTCTCTTGCTCAGTATGGACTGAATGTTAAGATTACCCAGGCACTAGGAACACTTGCATGTACAAACTAGTCAAAGGACCACTGTTTAGTGATTTAATGTCACTTCTCTTTGTTCTCTGCCTAAATTGGTTCAGGTTTTGCCTCTTCTCCAGTTTGCCAGTTTGTAGTGGGAAACAACTAGATTGAATTCTAGCTTGGAACATAGAATTGCTAAATTCCTTAAAACTTAGGAAGTACGAACTTATGCATTAATAAAACAGTGGTGGATGATGCAGCAACTGTGTGTCAGATATATCTATTACCTAGTTTATTTTTAATTTATTCCTAAAATGAATTTTAATTAACATGGTAAAACAAATGATGGATTAATACATGAAAACATCTGACTTTCTGAAGCCTGTCAAAAATATTTGAAGTTTTTCTTCAGTTTTCTTCAGATATATTTAATAATCTCTATGGTTTCAACCTGTTCATTTAAAGTATCTAAAATGAACAAGGAAATTCACATACACATTATGATTGCCTTTCACTATAGAAGGTAGAAACAGAAGCAATTTGAATTTTCCTATACTACTTTTCATTTGAAAATAATAGGGATGTAAATATGATGACATTTTTTGAATTTTTAAAATAATTTATATAGTCTTTTAAATTTCATTTTACATTCCAACCACAGTTCTCCCTCCCACCCTTCATCCCACCCCTCCTCACCTCTCCCCCAAGGTCACCCCCAGTTCACTCCTCCTCTTGAGGAGTCAACAAAGCCTGGCACAAGAGCTTGGGGCAGGACCAAGACCCTCTCCCATGCATCAAGGCTGAGCATGACATTCCAACACAGGGCATGGGCTCATGTAGTTAGCTCATGTACCAGGTTTGTATCATGGTTCAACTACCCAGGGCCCTTCAAACAGTCCAAGCTTCACAACTGCCTCCCACATGTGGAGGGCCTAGTTTGGCACCCTGGAGTCTCCACAGCGGTCAGTTTAGAGGTCATGAGTTTTCACGAGCTTAGTTCTGCTGTCCCTGTAGATTTCTCCATTTTGATCTTAACCTCCCTTACTTATGTATTCTCTCCTCCCTCTCTTCATCTAGATTCTCAGAGCTCAGTCTGGTGCTTGGTTGTGAATCTCTGTATTTGGTTTTATCAGTTACTGGATGAGAGCTCTATGATGATAGCTAGGGTACTCACCGATAAGATTACAGGGCAAGGCCAGTTCAGGCATCCTCTCCACTATCGCTAGGAGTATTAGCTGGGGTCATCTTTGTGGATTCTTGGGAATTTCCTTACACCAGTTTTCTCCATAACCACATAGTGGCTCTCTCTATTAAGACACCCCTTTCACTGCTCTTCCAATATTTCCATCCCATTCCCTCATGTTCTCATCCCTCCTCCTCTCCACCTTTCACCCCCATTTGGCCAGTAGATCTGATCTAATTTCCTTTCCAAGGGTGTTTCTCTGTTAGAGTCTTCCTTGTTACCTAGCTTCTTTGGTTGTCCATTGCTTTACATCTAATATCCACTTATGAGTGAACAGAAACCTTATTTTGTGTTTCTGAGTCTGAGTTACTTCACCCAGCATATATATTTTTTCTAGTTCAATTCATTTGTCTGAAAATTTCATGAGGTCATCATGTTTTTTACAGGTGAGTAGTCCTCCATTGTGTAAATATACCACATTTTTCTTATCCATTCTTTGGTTGAATGACATCTATGTTGTTTCCAGTTTCTGGCTATTGTGAATAATGCAGCTATGAACATTGTTAAGTAAACAGAGTGGTATGATTGAGTGTCCTTTTGGTACAAGCCCAAGAGTGGTATCACTGTGTCTTAAGGTAGATTGATTCCCAATTTTCTTAGAAGCTGCCATACTGATTTCCCAAGTGGTTGTACAAGTTTGCAGTCCCTCCAGCAGTGGAGGGGTGTTCACCTGACTCTACATTCTCTCCAACATAATCTGTCCTCCGTATTTTTGATCTTAGCTATTCTGACAGGTATAAGATGTCACTTTGATTTGTATTTCCCTGATGATGAAGGATGTTGATCAATTCCTTGAATGTTTTTTGGCCATTTGCATTTCTTCTGGTCAGATTATGTTTAGCTTTGTACCCCATTTTTCAACTGGGTTTTACGTTTTGATACCTACTTTCTTGAATTCTGTATATATTTTGGAAATCAGCCCTTTGTCCGATGTGTGGTTGGTGAAGATTTTTCCCATTCTGTAGGCTGTCATTTTGTCTTATTGACACTACCTTATAGAAGATTTTCAGTTTCATGAGGTCCCATTTATTGATTGTTGCTCTCAGCATCTGTGCTACTGGTGTTATATAATTAAGAAATGGTCTCCTGTGCCAAGGCATTCAAGGCTACTTCCCACTTTCTCTCCTATCAGGTTCAATATAGCTGGATTTATGTTGAGATCTTTGATCCACTTGGCTTTGAATTTTGTGCATGGGGATAGATATGGATCTATTTCCAATTTTCTACATGTTGACACCCAGTTATTCCAGCACCACTTGTTAAATATGTTTCCTTTTTTCCGTTGTACCATTTTGGCTTCTTTGTCAAAATCGAATGTGTGTGGATTAATGGCAGAGTCTTCAGTTTGATTCTGTTGCTTCACCTGCCTGTTCTTATGCTAACACCAAGCTATTTTTATTACTATAGCTCTATAGTAGACTTTGAAGTCAGAGATGGTGACTCATCCAGAATTTCCTTTACTGTATAGCTATTCTGGGTTTTTTGTTTTTCCATATGAACTTGAGTGTTGTTCTTTCAATGTCTGTGAAGATTTGTGTTGGGATTTTGAAGAAAATTGCACTAAATTTGTAGATTGCTTTGGTAAGATTGCCATTTTTATTATATTGATCCTTCCTATCCAAGAGCATGGGAGAACTTTCCATTTTCTGATATACTCTTCAGTTTCTTTCTCTAAGACTTTGACGTTCTTGTCATACAGATATTGCTCTTGTTTGGTAGAGTTACCCCAAGATATTTTATATTTGTGCCTATTATGAAGAGTGATGTTTCTCTGAATTCTTTCTCAGTCCATTTATCATCTTTATATTGCAGGGCTCCTTGTTTTTTGTTGTTTATTTATTTGTTTTGTTTTTGACTTAGTCTTGTATTCTGACACATTACTGAAGGTGCTCATCAGCTGTAGAAGTTCCCAGATAGAGTTTTTTTGGTCACTTATGTATGCTCTCATATTATCTGTAAATAGTGATAGTTTTTCTTCTTTTCCAGTTTGTATTACCTTGATCTCCAGTTGTTGCCTTTTTGCTCTAGCTAGAAATTCATATAGATATGGAGATAGTGGACAGCCTTTTCTTGATATTGATTTTAGTGTAATTATTTTGAGTTTCTGTTTAATCTCATGTTTTCTGTTGGCTTGCTGTAAATTACTTTTGTTATATTCAGATATGCTCCCTGTATCTGTGGTATCTTTAAGACCTTTATAATGAAGAGGTGTTGTATTTTGTTGAAGGCCTTTTCAGCATCTAATGAAATGATCATGTTTTTTTCTTTAAGTTTGTTTATATGGTGCATATGTTGATCCAACCCTGCATCTATGGGATGAAACCTATTTTGTCATGTTGAATGCTTTTTTTTCTGATACATTCTTGGATTTTGTTTGCCAATATTTTATTGAGTATTTTTGCATCAATGTTCATGAGGGACATTAGTCTGTAATTCTCTTTCTTAGTTGTGGCTTTGTGTGGTTTGGGTATCAGTGCTTCTGTAGCCTTATAAAACGAGTGTGGCAATGTTCCTTCTGTTTCTATTTTGTGGAACAATTTGAGGAATATTGGAGTTTGCTCTTCTTAAAATGTTGGTAGAATTCCGCACTGAGGCTATCTGGTTCTGGGCTTTTGTTGGTTAGACAGCTTCTAATGATTGCTTCTATTTCCTTAGGGGTCTTTTCCCAACACTTTACTTGGAGGTAATGTCTGTCTTTGAAGTTGTGGGTTTCCTTTATGCAGCAGAAGGATGGATCCTGTTTTCATAGCCATTCTGTTAGCCTGTGTCTTTTTATAGGCTAGTTGAGTTCAATGATATTAAGGGCTATCAATGACCAGTTACTGTTGATTCCTGTTATTTTTTTGGTGATGGTGGTGTGTATGTTTTCCTCTTTTAGGATTTACTGGTATGGGATTATCTATTGCCTATGCTTTCCTGGGTACCTCAAAACTCCTTGGGTTTTCCTTCTAGTGCTTTCTGCAGGGCTGGATTTGTGAATAGGCAAAATATGGTTTTGTCATGGACTATCTTGTTTTCTCCATCTATGGTGATTGCAAGTTTTGCTGGGCATAGTAGTATGGGTTGACATTCATGGTGTCTTTTTTTTTTTTTTTTTTTTTGGTTTTACAAGACAGGGTTTCTCTGTATTGTTTTGGAGGCTGTTGGTCCAGCCTGGCCTCGAACTCACAGAAATCTGCCTGCCTCTGCCTCCCGAGTGCTGGGATTAAAGGCATGCGCCAACACTGCCATGCTGACATTCATGGTGTCTTAGAGTCTGCATAATGTCTATCCAAGACCTGGCTTTGAGAGTCTACATTGAGAAGTCTGGTGTTATTCTGATGTTACTTAATCTTTTTTCTTTGCAGCTCTTTCTTTCTTTCCTTTTTTTCTTCCTTCCTTCCTTCCTTCCTTCCTTCCTTTCTTTCTTTCTTTCTTTCTTTCTGGTCTAGTCTATTTGGTCTTCTTGTGTCTTCATAGGCATTTCCTTCTTTAGGTTAGGTTGGGAAAGTCTTCTTCTATGATTTTGTTGAATATATTTCTGTGGCTTTTAGCTGGTATTCTCCTCCGATTTCTACCCCTATTATTCTTAGGTTTGATCTTTTCATGGTATCCCAGAATTCCTGGACATTTTTTTGTTATAACTGCATTTGCTTTAATATTTTCTTTGACCAATGATTCTACTACCTTTATCACATCCTCAACACCTGAGATTCTTTCCTCCATCTCTTGTATTCTGTTGGTTATGCTCGCATCTGTAATTCTTGTTTGTTTACCCAGATTTTTCATTTCCAAAATTCCCTCATTTTGTTGCCTCTTTTTCAATTTTCAAATCTTAGACTTGTTTGCTTGTTTTTTCTTAGTTTCCCTGGATTTCTTTAGGAAGTTTACTGGTGTCTTCCAATTTTTGTTGGTGTTTTCCTGTGTTTGTTTAAGGTAATTTCTTTTATTTCCTCTTGAAGGATCTCTATCATCTTTGCAAAGTTACTTTTAAGGTTGTTTTCTTCTGGCTCTTCTGCACTGGGGTGTTCAGGTCTTCCTCTAGTAGGACCACTAGGTTCTGGTGTTAACCTATTGCTCTTTAGGTTCCTGAATGCTTCTTCCATTGGCCTGTACCCATCTCTTTCTCTAGTCAGATGTAGTCAGTGTTTTTGCCTCTTGATCTAATCCTTGCAGACAGTGTCTTTCAGGGATCCACAGTTGGACTGATCGCTGTGGTCATTTTCTGTGTCTCAGGGAGCCACCCTTGGTCAGCTTTCTTAGTCCTCTCTGAAACAGTGATTGTCTGTATATCAGAGAAACACTGAGGTCATGGGGGACGGGTAGGTTTGGAGGCAGAGTGGGACTTGTAGGTTACAGGGTCCAGTGTGGGGGGATGTTGGTGTAACCTGCCCGCAGGAACTTTTCCTGCTGACTTGCAAATGCAGCTGAGATGGGGGGGTAAGAGGCCCGGGGTTTTGCCCCATACTTAGGGACTAGAGGCTGTGTGGTCCAGATGGGAGGCTGGTCACTTACATGTTTGTGCTTTTATTACCTAGTTTATTTCTCACAACAAATTGGTGACACAGACAGAACTAATGTTTTATTTTAGAAACAAGAATTAAAGCCTATGTGAAATGGTAAGAAACTGAGAAACCTCAAGCCCACTATCCAACCAAAGATTTGTATTTCAAATTTATGAGGATTCTTACATTTATTCTTGTTTCATTTTAGTTTGACTGAAAAAGTAACCACTCTCTAGTGATAATTAAAAAGAGAACACAAGGCTAACCTTGGGGAGGGGTCGGATGAATATCTCTGCAGTTAAGAGGCCCCTGCAAAAGACCTGAGTTCTGGGTGATTCAAGGCAGCCTATGACCATAACTCCAGGGGATCTGTCACCCTCTTATGGCCTGGGGGAAGGGGGCAAAACATCCTCCACATACACATAATTATTAAAAATTATTTTGTAAAGGCAAGAGTCTCAATACTCATAGCAAACCTTCCTTGTAAATGTTCACATCTTGTGGGTAAAATAAAATATTAATAAGTTTGATTTTTTTAAATCATAGATTGAAAAGTATGGATTCCCTTCTGACCTTGCTTTTTCACCTCGAGAAAGCATCCAGCTATATGACACTATGCTTCAGGTCTGGAAGAGCTGGCCCCAGGCCCAGGTAAAGAGTCTTCATGGAATACATGCTACTGTGGTAGAGCCCACCATTGCTGTTCAGAAGCACACAACCACTGTTTCTGATACTTGCATTCGGTGATTTAAAATGATTAGCAGACCTTTCCCCAGAGGAACTGGCACCCTCATCCTTCTCAGTTAAATGGGATAGTAATGGTGTTTTCTGTCAGTTTCTGAAAATGTACCTCCTTTTTCTTCCCAGACACTGTGGTATCTGGGTCTCCTTTCCCACTCTGGGTTTCTAGTCTTCAGATACTTTCCATCCCACATTGTTCTCTGTGTCCTGAGTGCTGTTTGCTTTCTCTGGAGACCTGTTTACTCTGTGTTCTTGCCTTTGAAGAGTTCATACGTAGTTCTGTGTACTAGAAGGTACAGGGAGGTAAGAGAATTCCAATTGCTTCAGATCCAAGAGATTGTAAAACTGTAAATGAAAAATATAACTGAGAAACATCTTTATGTTTTCTGGCATTGTTTTCATGGAATTTTATGGTCTTCTTTTCCTAGAACCTGTGTCCAGAGAACTTCACTCATTTTAAGAACAAAATAGTCATTAAAAAGTCGGATGCTAGAGAATATGAGGCGAGTTTAAAGGAAGAATTCACAAGTTGGATTAAAAATGGGAACGAGGAACAGGTGATTTCAACGTTTTGGGCAAAGCACTCCATTTTGTTTTCTTGTATCTTTCAACCAATAACATCATTTCCTCCTTTGTAGTTTTCAATTTGTATTTTAAATTTTAAGTTTGACTTGATGTGTAGTGATCTCAAGATAGAGATAAAAGAGAAAGGAAGTTGTTTTATCTCTTCTCCAGTGTCCCCTCAAACTTGACAAGAGACCATAGTTTCCTCATGCATTTGATGGCATACAAGACAGAGCACAGGTTTTTGCTTGGAATAACTGATGCTTTCAGCAGCACAGAAGTGGGACTCAAGTAGCTGTAACACATTTTTACTTTTCTTCCTTTTGCAATTTTGGTGTTTTATTCTCTTTAAACATTATTGAGAATTTCTTGTATATGTGTATAATGTTTTCAAGTCGATTCCCAATCGTCTCATATCCCTCCTGTCTGTTCCCCTTTCAACCTCATGTTTTCTTTTTAAAACGCACTGAGTCCACTCAGTGCTGCCAGTCTGTGCATGGGTGTGGGGCCACCCTTTTTCAGTAGCTCTTCAGCTAGAGGTGAGACTCTGTGAGCCCCCTCCTCATTCCTGTGGAAATTGTTTCCATTTGATCAGATGAGCTCCTTTGCAGGTGTCAACAGCTGCCATGAAATATGTTCATATGTTCAATGTCCCTGTCATATACGTAGACACTGGTTTGCAGCTGTCCTTTGGGTTTTATTCTTCATGAATTTTATTTTAAATTGTAACAACTATTTAAGAACTAAAGCCTTATGTCTTACCCTGGAACTATATGCTTACTAATTTATTTTGGTTAAGTTTATAGTCTTATTTTATCATCAAAAATTGATATTTCTGATATTTTTTTAGGAAGAGCATTCATGATATATTTTTTTCATGTGATCCTCTCCCCACCCCTACTGCCAGATTTGTGTTCTCTCGAACAATTGCAGGTGTGTGTGTCCAGTACACCAGAGGCTTGTTATTAAGTCTGTGGTTTGCATGTGTCCTTGCTATGGCTTACCACAGTCCTGTGGTATAGTCTTACAGGATAATTTTGAAGAACAACAAAAGCAAAGATATAACAACCATGGAAAGAGTTTAGTCAGAATGGCCATTCATTTCTTTCCTATGCAGATTTCCCTTTTTTAATTTTTAACAGAAAAAAGCTTGTTTTACATGTCAATCCCAGTTCTCTCTTCCTCCTCTGCTCCCCTGCACCCCACTAACCACCTATTCCATTCCCTTTCTGCTCCCCAGGGAGGGTGAGGCCTTCCATGGGTGATCTTCAAAGTCTGTCATATCATTTGGAGCAAGGCCTAGACCCTCCCCTGTGTGTCTAGGCGGAGAGAGTATGTGGAGTGGGCTCCCAAAATCCATTCGTACACTAGGGATAAATATTGATTCAGTACCAGAGGCCCCAGAGGCCTCCTAACTGACATCCATGTTTAGTGGGTCTGGGTTGGTCCTATGCTGGTTTCCCAACTATCAGTCTGGGTTCCATGAGTTCCCCCTTGTTCAAATCAGCTGTTTCTGTGGGCTTCTCCAGCCTGGTCTTGACCCCCTTTGCTCATCACTCCTCCCTCTCTGAAACTGGATTCCAGGAGTTTGACTCAGTGTTTAGCTGTGAGTGTCTGCTTCTGCTCCCATCAATCACTGGATGAAGGCTCTAGGATGGCATATAATATAGTAGTCAATCTTATTATCAGGGAAGGGGATTTAAGGTAGCCTCTGCACTAGTACTTAAATTGTTAGTTAAGTCTACCAGAAGATCCAGCAATTCTACCCTTAGGCATATATCTATGCACATTTTCATAGAAGCGCTTTCCATTCACTCTTACAGGCCAGAATGGTGCTGGAGAAATTCCGTCCTAATTTCTGTGACTACTCAGGCCAGATGCTGAAATTCTTTCCAAATCTTGTTGAGAAGCTCAGGGAAATGGAAAAGTTGCCTGCACTGTTCTTTTTGTAAGTTATTTAATATTATGAAATAATTTGTATTAGTCCCCTTCCTTTAAGGTACAGGAAATTATATCCACATTACCACTATGGTCTAGTATTTATTATTACTTTGGGTGTTTATTTGTCAAAATAATATGACTTACTTAAAGTCATAAAATTGTGTAGTTCCACATTTTTTTTTTGTTCTGGTTCTGTTTGTACGTTTGAGACAGGGTCTTGATATGTTATCTGATGTAGCAATGAGAATTGACTATCGACTGTCATTTCTTAATCCTTACTTTATCAGTGTAGCTCCCTCCATCTCTGTGGATTTTTTTCTTTTTAATTTACCTTTGTGACACTGACTGGAAACAGATCCCAGGGCCTCTCACACTAGAAAACCATTCTGCCACTGAGCAATACCCTCAGGCATTTTTTTCTTTTTCTTTTCTAAGATGTCACCAAGGTACTCATGCTGGTTTTAGACCCATTCTGTATATTAGGCTGACCTTCATTTTATGATCCTCCTGTCTCAGCCTTCTTACTAACTAGGATTATAGACAGTACTGTGACAACAGGCCCAGTTCCACAAATTTTAAAATACTTGTTTTTTTTAATTTTTATTTTTAAATTTAAATTAGAAACAAGGTTGCTTCACATATCAATTCCAGGTCCCTCTCCCTATCCCTCCCCTTCTCCCATGTTCTCCCACCAACCCATCCAATATCCCCTCATTTCCCAGGGAAGGTGAAGACCTCCATGGGGATGTTGATAGTCTGTCATTTCATCCAGGGCAGGGCCTAGACCCTCCCCCAAGAGTCCAGGGTGAGAGTGCATCTTTCATTGTTGGAGGGGCGCCCAAAGCCCATTTGTATACATGGGATAAATACTGATCTACTTCCAAATGCCCAATAGATTACCTAGGCCTCCTCACTGACACCCATGATCAGGGAGTCTTGATCAGTCCCATGATGGAATCTCAGCCATCAGTTGGGGAATCAAGAAATAACCCTTGTCAGGTCAGTTGTTTCTGGGGGTTTAACCAGCCCAGTCTTAACCCCTTTGCTCATCAGTCCTCCCTCTCTGTCACTGAATTCATTGAGTTCAGCTCAGTGTTTAGCTGTGGGAGTCTGCCTCTGCTTTCATCAGCCATTGAATGAAGGTTCTGTTTCCCAGACTCTCTGGCCATGGGATTGTAGGCTGGCACTCCCCAGATCTATGTCTAAAATCCACATATGAGAGAGTACATGTCATATTTCTCTTTTTGTGACTGGGTTACCTCACTCAGGATGGTTTCTTCTAGTGCCATCCATTTGCCTGCAAATTTCAGGATTCCATTGTTTTTTTCTGCTGAATAGAATTCCATTGTGTAAATGTACCACATTTTCTCTATCCACTCTTCGGTTGAGGGGCATCTAGTTTGCTTCTATTTTCTGGCTATTAAAAATAATGCTGCTATGAACATAGTGGAACAGATGTCCTTGTTGTATGAATGAAAATCTTTTGGCTATATGCTTAAGAGTGGAGTTTCTGGGTCTTGTGATAGGCTGATTCCCATTTTTCTGAGGAATCTCCACCCTGATTTCCAAAGTGGCTGTACTAGTTGGCACACCCACCAGCAGTGGAGGAGTGTTCCCCTTTCACCACAACCTCTCCAGCATAAATTGTCATTGGTGTTTTTGATTTTACCCGTTCTGACAGGAGTAAGATGGTATCTCAGAGTTGTTTTGATTTGCATTTCCTTAATGGCTAAGGATGTTGAACACTTTCTCAAGTGTGTCTCAGCCATTTTAGACTCCTCTATTGAGAATTCCATATTTAGTTCTGTAAACCACTTTTTAATTGAATCCTTTGGTTTTTTGGAGATTTGCTTCTTGAGTTCTTTGTAAATTTTAGAGATCAGCTCTCTGTCAGATGTGGGGTTAGTGAATATCTTTTCCCATTCTGTGGGCTGCCTTTTTGTCTTGTTGATTGTGTCCTTTGCCTTCAGAAGCTTCTCAGTTTGAGGAGGTCCCATTTATTAATTGATGACCTTACTGTCTGTGCTACTGGTGTTATGTTAAAGAAGCTGTCTCCCATAACAATTCATTCATGGGTACCACCCACATTCTCTTCTAAGAGATTCAGTGTGGCTGGATTTATGTTGAGGTCTTTGATCCATTTGGATTTAAGTTTTTTTACATGGTGATAGACATGGATCTATCCACATTCTTCTACATGCAAGCATCCAGTTATGCCAGCACCATTTGCTAAAGATGCTTTCTTTTTTCCATTGTATAATTTTAGCTTCTTTGTCGAAGATCAGATGTTCATACATGTATGGGTTATATCAGGGTGTTCAATTCGATTCCATTGGTCTACCTGTCTATTTTTGTGCCAATACCAAGCTGTTTTCAAGAATATAGCTCTATAATAGAGTTTGAGGTCAGGGATGGTGATGCCTCCAGATGTTGTTGAGTAAGGTTGTTTTTCTATACAGAGTGGATTATTGTTCTTTCAAGGTCTGTGAAGAAGTGTGCTGGGATTTTAATGGGGATTGCATTGAATCTGTAGATTGCTTTTGGCAGGATTGGCATTTTTACTATATTGATCCTACCTATCCAAGAACATGGAAGATCTTTCCATTTTCTGAGGGCTTCTTTAAATTCTTTCTTTGAAGACTCAAAGTTCTTGTGATACAGGTCTTTCACTTGTTTGGTTAGCATTACCCCAAGGTGTTTTATGTTGTTTGTGGCAATTGTAAAGGGTGATGTTTCTCTGATTTCTTTCTCAGCCCTTTTATCAACTGTATATAGTAAGGCTACTGATTTTCTTGAGTTGATCTTATAGCCTACCACTTTGCTGAAGGTGTTAATCACCTGTAAGAATTCCCTGGAAGAGTTCTTTGGGTCATTTATGTAAACTATCATATCATCTGCAAATAGTGAAAGTTTGACATCTTCCTTTCCAATTTGTATCCCCTTTATCTCCTTTTGTTGTTGTATGGCTCTAGCTAAAACTTCAAGTATAATATTGAATAGGTATGGAGAGAATTGACAGCCTTGTATTGTTCCTGATTTTAGCGGAATCATGTTGAGTTTCTGTCCATTTAGTTTGATGCTGGCTGTTGGTTGCTGTATATAGCTTTTATTATGTTTTGGTATGTTCCTGTTATCCCAGATCACTCCAAGACCTTTATCATGAAGGGGTGTTGAATTTTGTCAAAGGCTTTTTCAGCATCTAGCGAGATGATCATGTGATTTTTGATTTTCAGCTTGTTTATATGGTCGATTACATTGATGGGTTTTCGTATGTTGAACCATCCCTGCATCCCTGGGATGAAACCTACTTGGTCGTGGTGAATGATTGTTTTGATGTGTTTTTGGATCCAATTTGCTAGTATTTTATTGAGTATTTTTGCATCAATGTTCATAAGGGATATTGGTCAGAAGTTCTCTTTCTTAGTTGTGTCTTTGTGTGGCTTGGGAATCAAGGTTATTGAAACCTCGTAGAAAGAGTTTTGCAAAGACCCTTCTGCTTCTATTGCATGGAATACTTTGAGAAGAATTGGTATAAGCTGTTCTTTGAATTTCTGGTAGAATTTTGCACTGAGGCCATCTGGACCTGGGCTTTTTTTGGTTGGGAGACTTTTGATGACTGCTTCTATTTCCATAGGGGTTATAGGTCTATTTAAATTGCTTATCTGTTCTTATTTTAATTTTGGCAAGAGATACCTATCCAGAAAATTGTCCATTTCCTTTAAATTTTTGAAATTTGTGGAGTACAGGTTTTCAAAGTTTGACCTGGTGATTCTCTGAATTTTCTCCGAGTCCGTTGTTATGTCCCCCTTTTCGTTTCTGATTTTGTTAATTTGTATGTTCACACTCTGCTGTTAGGTGAGTTTGGACAAAGGTTTGTCTATCTTGTTGGTTTTCTCAAAGAACCAACTGTTCGTTGCATTGATTCTTTGTATTGTTTTTCTAGTTTCTACTTTATTGATTTCAGCCCTCAATTTGATTATTTCCTGGCATCTACTCCTCCTGGGGGAGTTTGCTTCTTTTTGTTCTAGAGCTTTCAGCTGTGCTGTTAATTCTCTAGTATAACTATTCTCCAGTTTCTTCATGTGGGCCCTTAGTGCTATGAACTTCCCCCATAGCACTGCTTTCAAAGTGTCCCATAGGTTTTGGTATGTTGTGTCTTCATTCTCATCGAATTCTATGAAGTCTCTAATTTCTTTTTTTATTTCTTCTTTGATCCAGGAATGGTGCAGTTGTGCATTTTTCAATTTCCATGAGTTTGTAGGTTTTCTGCAGTTTGTGTTGTTGTTGAATTCTAATTTTAAAGCATGGTGGTCTGATAAGATGCATGGAGTTATTCCAATTTTTTTGTAGCTGCTGAGGTTTGATATGTTGCCAAGTATGTGGTCGATTTCTGAGAAGGTTCTATGTGGTGGTGAGAAGAAGGTATATTCTTTTTATGTGGATGAAATATTCTATAGATGTCTGTTAATCCCAGTTGGGTCATTACTTCTATTAGACCCTTTGCTTCTTTGTTGAGTTTCTGTCTGGTATTCCTGTCTAGTGTTGAGATTGGTGTGTTGAAATCTCCCACTACAAGTGTATGGGGCTTTATATGTGATTTAAGTTTTAGTAATGTTTCTTTTACTAATGTAGATGCCTTTGTATTTGGGGCATAGATGTTCAGGATAGACACTTCATCTTGGTGGATTTCACCTGTGATGGGTATGTAATGACCCCCTTTATCTCTTTTGATTGATTTTATTTTAAAGTCTAATTTGTTAGATATTAGGATTGCTACTCCTGCTTGTTTCTTGGGTCCATTTGATTGGAAAATTATTTCCCGACCTTTAACTCTCAGGTAATATCTGTCTTTGAGGCTGAGGTGTGTTTCTTGTATGCATCAGATGGATGGGTTCTGTCTTCGAATCCATTCTGCTAGCCTGTGCCTTTTTATGGGTGAGTTAAGGTCATTAATGTTGAACGATATTAATGACCATTGATTGCTCATTCTTCTTTGATTTGGAATGGTTGTTGGTGGTGGAATTATGTGTGGAATTTCACCCCTTTGTTCTTTTGGCTGTTGATAGACAGGGATTCTATAATGCCTATGTTTTTGTGGTTGTAGTTAACTTCCTTGGGTTGGAGTTTTCCTTCCAAAACTTTCTGTAGGGCTGGGTTAGTGGATACGTATTGCTTAAATCTAGTTTTGTCACGGAATATCTTGTTTTCTCCATCTATAGTGATTGAGAGCTTTGCCGGGTATAGTAGTCTGGGCTGGCATCCATGGTCTCTTAGTGTTGGTAGAATATCTATCCAGGACCTTCTGGCTTTCAGAGTTTCCATGGAGAAGTCAGGTGTAATTCTGATAGGTTTGCCTTTATATGTTACTTGACCTTTTTCCTTAGCTTCTCTTAATATTCTTTCTTTATTCTGTATATTTAGGGTCGATTATTATGTGGCAATGGGACTTTTTTTGTGATCCACTCTATTTGGTGTTCTGTAAGCTTTTTGTACCTGCATTGGCATGTCTTTCTTTAGGTTGGGAAAGTTTTCTTCTATGATTTTGTTGAATATGTTTTCTGCCCCTTTGAGGTGGTTTTCTTCACCTTCTTCTATACCTATTATTATTAAGTTTGGTTTTTTCATGGTGTCCCATAATTCCTGGATGGTTTGTTTTAGGGATTTGTTGGACTTAAGATTTTCTTTGGTTGATGAATCAATTTCTCCTAGTGTATCTTCAAAACCTGAGATTCTCTCTTCCATCTCTTTTATTCTGTTGGTTATGCTTACATCTGTAGTACCTGACCATTTGCCCAGCTTTTCTATTTCTAGCCTTACTTCTGATTGTGTTTTTTTCTCTATTTCCATTTTCAATCCTTGCACTGTTTGAATTGTTTCTTGCAATTTTTGCTTTTTCTTTTTGTCCATTTGTTAAATTTTATGAATTTTTTTGTTTGTTTTTTCTTCCATTTCTTGCATTTTGTTGGTTTGCTTTTTCTTCCATTTTTTGCATTTTTTGGTTTACTTTTTCTTCCATTTCTTGCATTTTTTGGTTTGCTTTTTCTTCCATTTCTTCCATTTTTTGGTTTACTTTTTCTTCCATTTCTTGCATTTTTTGGTTTGCTTTTTCTTCTGTTTCTTTGAGGAATTTTCCTATATCCTCTTTTAGGGCCTCTATCATTTTCATGAAGTTGTTTTTAAGGTCATTCTCTTCTGCTTCATTTGCATTGGAATGTTGGAGTCTTGCTGGTGTGGAGTCTCTAGAATCTGGTGGTGTCATATTTGTTTTTCTGTTACTGAGTGTGCTTTTGTTTTGTCCCTTTCCCAATTCTTCTTCTAGTGGGTGCAGAAAGAGCCCCCTACTGGTCTGGTGATTAGAGGACCAGAGTTCCCTTGCGGTGGGTCCAAGCAAGTTTAATACTCTGGTAGTTCTTCTATTCCTGGTCCTAGTCCTGGTCCTATGGGTGGAGAAGAAGCTCAGGAATCTGGGGTGTGTAGTGTCCTACCTGGTCCCCTGGTCCCGTTGGTGGAGTAGAAGACCTGGGATCTGGGGTGCCTGGCTCTTGCCAGAATGGGGAAGCACTGTAATACTTGGTTTGTGATGTCTCACATTTTTAAGAAAAAATTTTTCCTCACACTTTAAGCTTAAACTTTATTATGCAGTTCAGACTTGTTATTTGCCCAGTGGCTACTACAATTCTGGCATGTGGCTCCTAGGCATAGTGGTTAAATGAAAATGAAATGTTTCTCTCCCACCCCCAGCCTGCTTTTTATCAGAAAGTCTACATTCCAAACATTGTGAAATTCATGTGATGCAAATGAGGTTGCTTGCTTTTAATTTTTTTGGAAAGAGAATTCAACTAGCACTATTTATTGCTCAAATCTGAGAAGTCTAAATCTAGATCTAGACTAGGTTCACAGGGTAAATTCCATGGTCCCAAGAAGTCTGAACCTTTATAATCCTAGGCATTTACATTTTCAAGGGTATAAATGCCATGTCCAGGAGACCTTCTGAATTGTAAAAGCTATGATCTCCAGGACATCCTACCTTCTAGGAAGAAGTGATCATAAGTGAGAAATTATGCCTCTTTCTACCTTGCAAAAACATTATGTTTTTGGTTGACTAAAAGCCTTTGTTGTCTTTCAGTAGGCTATTTTGAATGTGGGGGTGATTTTCTCTTTTTTTTCTGATAACAAATCACTGCTTTGCTCTTGCCTGGGCATGTCTGTCCTATGGAGAGTTTCCATGACCTCATTCTGCAGTGTCACAGGAATATGGTATTGGGAAAACTTAACTTTCATTTCTCAGTTCCTATTTAGGAGTATGTGTACCTAGAGCACCCAGAATTCAAAGTAAAATTCATAAAGACCAGCTTCAAAATTCTAGTGGGTATATGATAATCTCATGGTTTGCATGTGAAGTGCTTTCCATTGGTGTGTGTTTGGATAGCTAGTGCTGTTTTGGAAGGTTATAGAAAGGTAGGAGATGCTACCTTACCAATGAACGTTGTCTGGGATGTCATCCTTTATACTTGTCAGATCAATCAGAGCTACAAATTAAACAACAGGATGATGTAACGTGCATTCTTCCCACCAGCCTGGGTCCTGTTGCCACTTTAACCCCCAAATAACACATGAGAAACTATATTAATTATGAAGCTGTTGGTCTTTTGCTATGGTTTCTCATTGGCTAGCTCTGATTTAATTATTGACCCATAATTACTAATATGTATTTTTATAAGGACTTATATTTCTGAGGACGCCCTCCTGACCGTGTCCTTTCCTCCAGGGTGATCACATGGTGACTCTGTTTACAAGATTTCCCAGAATCCCCCTAGACTCCTAGTCCCACCCATCTTGCTTCCCTATTGACCAACAGTACTTTATTTATGCCAATCAGACAAACAAATACACGGAAGGGCTTCCCTCATCATCTCCTCTTTTCAGTCTAAATAAAAAGAAAGGTTATATATAAAAGAACAGTTATCAAGCAAGAACTATAGTTACAATATTTTGTTCATTAACATTTATTAAGATTTAAAGAAAATATTTTATTATCTATCCTATCTAGGTGAGTCTAAAGTCTTATATGTAGCTTATCTTTTATCATAACTAAGGAAAACTATAATTGTAACTATCTGTCTTCAACTCCATCAAAGACCACAGAAGTACATATATATATATATATATATATATATACATACATACATACATGCATACATACATACATACATACATACATATATAAAACAATAGAATTGAAAGAGACATTTCGTTGTGTTACATATGGCACCCACCCAGATTTGGGGCATGAGCTCCCACTTAAGAACCTAACAAAAACTTAAAAATGGGATTTTAGAAACAAAAGAACAGAGACAAGCACGGCTTCTTGGTAGCAGCATTTTCTCAGATGGGGGTCTGTTTTGCTAGAGCCAAGCAAAGACTTGCGCAGCCAGTGTTGGCGGTAAACTTATGCCCGCCATTTTGGAAAAACAGCAGTTAAAACAGTCGAACAGTCGCAGTTTTGATTTTAGCAATGTTGTTTAGCAAATAACAGACACATGGCCAGAAAAGCATAAAGATTTACAGTAAAGTCAGATTCAGATGAAGTAAACCTCTAGAAGGTTTACAGTGTGTTTAAAAATATATGTATGTGAGAGAAAAAGAAACCAAATAAAGTGACTTAAAAAATAGAGTGGATGGGCAGTGGTGGCACACATGCCTTTAATCCCAGCACTCCAGAGGCAGAGGCAGAGGCAGGAAGATTTCCACAGAGAAACCCTGTCTCAGAGAATAAATAAATAAATAAAAGTAAAAGATATACAGTAATATAAGCCATGTAAAATTGTAAAATACACAGAAGGACGTCCCCCATCAGGATGCAGATTAAAATTGTGCAAATGTATAAGCCTCCCTGGGTACCTTAATTACGTTTCTGTTGCTGTGAAGAGAAACGATGGCCAAAACAACTTGTAGAAGAAAGAATTTACTGGGACTCACAGTTCTAGAGAGTTATAGACCATGACCATTATGGCAGGTGGATGAGACAACAGGCAGGTAGGCATGGTGTTGGAGAAGTAGCTGAAAGAGTATATAATTATCAGAAAGTAGTGTTCAGAGAGAGAGAGATAACTGGAAATGGAATGGACTTTTGATACTCCAAAGCCTGATCCCAGTCGTACACCTCTTCCAATGCTCTGCCTTCTAATCCTTCCCAGTTTCATGAATTACAGACTTGGTATTAAAATACATGAGCCTATAGTGACCTGATGGGGGATGTCTTTCTGTATGCTGTGAATATATGCTTCTCTTATTGTTTGATAATTAAATGATGATGGTACAGTGGCCAGGCAGGAAGGATAGGTGGGGCTACCAGACTAGAAATACTCTGGGAAGAGGAATACAGAGGGAGAGTCAAGTGGTAGATTCTATGTAGCCACCAAAGGATTTGCATGTGGCAACATTACAGGTAAGCCACAACTTTGTGGCAATACTTAGTTTAGTAGAAATGGTTTAATAATTAAGAGAGATAGCCAGTAAGAAGCCTAAGTCATCAGTCAAACAGTTTATAAGTAATATAAGCCTCAGTGTGTTTATTTGGGATTAAATGACTGCAGGATCAGGTGGGACAGAAACTTCATCTTCAGTGACCATTCTCAGTCAAACCACTCTACTGAGCCACAGAGGTCAATCATTGAAGTCTTACAGACAGCCCTACTTTCTGCTTGTGCTCTGCTTCATGACTATAGACACAATGTGACTAACCATCTCTAACTTTTGTTGCCATGCTTACCCTGATCCCAGTAGAAGGAGCTGTGTTCTTTCAAACTGTAAAATAGCTCATATCCTTCCATAATTGCTTATGTCATCCATTTGCTCATGCGCATGAGAAATGTAACACACAACCAGAAAGGATGGAGTGACAAGAGATTATGATAATATAGTATTTTAAATACACATTCTTTTGCTTCCAGATTTAGATTAGGTTCTGTAGAAGAATGTGCTGAGGCTGCTTGCCAATTCCTGGAGGAGAAACAAGAGGAGAAAAGACCTCCTAATGCTGATAGAGAAGCTCATGTCATGGCTAACAAACTTCGAAAAGTTAAGAAGTCTTTGGAGAAATCACAAAACATAAGGTATGTATTTCACTAAGCAAATTGTCCACATAAGGGTTTGTTGAACCCAAATGTCAGACTAGGAAGCATGCATTGAGAATGCTCTATAATGAAGTTCTAATTACTGCTTGGACTGTTTTTGTTCTTAAGCTTCAGAGAAGGGCTGTCCATGTGTGTAAATGCCTTAGTGAATGGGTGGGTATATAAGGAAATCATTAGAATAATAGGAGGAAAGCAAAGTTAATAGGATGTGGCTTCTGCTAGAATACAGTCTGGACATGACACCTGCTTGCTGTGTCCACCACAAGGAGAATATTCTGAATTGGCAAGCAGAGAGAGGAGAAGACATACCTCCAACCTGAGTGTGTGAAAGACTGAAAGAGACTAAATGAGCATTATATTGGCAAGATAAGGCAAGGTCACCCAGGTTGATAAGTATGACTTATACTTTGGGCTTTCTGTAGAGATAAGATGTAAATACCAATTTCTTGAAACTTTATTCTTTAAAGAGATGAAAAAACCCAGAAGCTTTCCAGAAGATTGGACCAGATCATCATGAATGAAGCTGAACACAATTGCCTCCTGGAGAGTCTCAAGAAGAATCTAGAGATTCCTGAGGACTGCACGTATGCTGATCAGAAAGCAATAGATGATCAGGTCAGCATCTAGAAGGGAGCAGTACTCCCAGAGAAAATCCTCTTTCATGCAGTGTTGGCCTTACCATATGTAATTGCTACCATAAGGGAAGTCATTCTGATCTAGAGATGTAGGAGACAGAAACTTTTCCTGCACACAACATTCAACAACCTTGTAATCCGCATTTAGGATAGGTTTAAAATTTGCACACTGGTGCTTTTCTTGCTGACAAATTATCCTAGTGCCTGTTCTTGAATTGTATCTTCTATAAAAGTCTATATATTATAGTCAGAATTTGGACCCCTACAAACTAATATATTTAGATACTGATAGCATTTCTTAAAATTAGAGTCTTTCTATATTGCAGCTAAAAAATTTCGCCAAAGAGTCATTGGAGTATCTAAAATTGGTTTAGTCCATAATCTTCAAACTTTTTGTCCTTCAAACTATTCCTGTTTTTAGTCAACATACTTAACAATACAAGTTTCAATAAAAGTAACGTCATCACACACACACACACACACACACTCTCTCTCTCTCTCACATAAACATTTCTGTGTTTTCATTGTGTCATAAGTCTTCTTTTCTCAGCTTCATGATATGTCTAGTTTTCATGACCATTTATGTATATCATTGTCTTAATTGACCCTTCACACTCTGTCTTATACAAAGCTATACAATTAAAGTAACTATGAACTATCCTTTTATGTTTGGAGACTTAAACTTTCTCCAAGTGTTGATCTTTTTTTTATTATAACAGTGGACATAACAGATTTCCTTCTTAGGACATGGATATTCTTGAGGCTGTTAGTATGTCACTTACAGTGGGAAGTAGGTATTTCTTGACCTCATGGTATAAAGGGTTTGCCTTACTTTCTAGGGAGAACTTTAGAATAGATCTCACAGTCACTTATTCGATGATCTTGTTCAGGTGGGAGTGGGCCACAGTCTTTTATTTCCTTTGGGCTATCTACTAGGCAGGCAAAGTTTTCTACCTCAGAACTGAGATGAGATTCCCAAGGACTGAGAAGGCTTTTCCTGAGGTGACTGTTGTTTCCAATAAAATGTTCTTTTGTTGTTGTTGATTACAATGTGTAGATCAAAGGCCAAACAGTGACATTGTTTGTCCAAATTATCATGTAATATGTATATTATTTTCATTGAACACTTGATTTTGATTGAGAATGAGATAAGCAATACCCTAAATCTCTTGTTTTTTAGTCATTGCAGATGGTGTTTGATCGAGTGAAATTCAGTAGAAAAGGCAACACACTGAAGAAATTGGCAAGAAGAGGCATTGGCTATCATCACAGCTCCATGAGTAACAAAGAAAAGCAGTTAGTCGAAATTCTTTTTAGGAAAGGATTTATTAGGGTGGGTTGATTTTTCATTGTAAAATTTGAAAATGTGACTATGAATATATGAAGCAGAATGTTCACGAAATGAGGAAACATAATCACCCCTTCAATTTTTTCTGTCACGTAGCTATTCCTCTTGGGCTGTAGACTTCGTTTACTGACTATGCCATCTTTGCATATGCTCCATGTCATATAATTTGGGAAGAAAATTTGACTGCTGTCACTTACTTCATACCTTTACGCAAGAAATGAAGTATCTCTATTCTGACCTCAGTACTGCTACACTTGTTATTATATGCAGGTTTTGTTGATGTGGTTTTGCTACAAATATTTTCTCTAAGATTTAGATGGTACTTATATTTGAGTTTGGGGCAGATCATAGCTGAAATCGGAGCACAAATATCTGCCTCAGCTTATCTCAGCAAAGCTTGTAGATATGTTGGTTATGAATGTTATTTCTCCTGTTACTGATGAGGTACAGGAGAAATATTGCCATAAATATCTTTCAGGTAACATCCTTATCATGTTTTCTTTAGTACATCCTGGGAAGGCCCATGGCAGCAATCCAGACAAGCATACAGAGGGCCCTTAGATTATTACCAAGCAAATATGAATCTTGAATAATATATAAAAAATTGATCCAGATTACTAAAAATTATCAACCTTACATTTTGTTTGGCATGGGCTAAAAGGAATAGAGGGTGGAAGGAAGACAGAGAAAAAAGTGAAATAGATGTTGTTAAAACACTATCTGACAGTAATTTCTTAGTCACTAATACAGTGATGAATGACTGGGCTGATACAGACCAGCAACTAGGGAAATAGTGACAGCTTCATCAGAAAATACATCTTATGAAGGTAATTGATCTATTCATTTTCTAAACATAAAGCTCCTACTCTTTTAATGTTTGTGCATGCTAAGGCGATTTGGATGAAAAGCACTTCATAAGCAGCAAGTTTCATCTTGACAGAGGCATAAGCTTCGAACACAGAACAACTAGAAAACATTGCTTCACCTTAAACATCATCACAAAACAGAGCACCAACAGCCACCAATCTAAAGAGTCAGTGTAGATGGACTTTTCTTCAGCCTGCCAGGTCACAAAAAATGACACAGGAGACTTGCTATTAATTATGGAAGCTTGACCTATATATTAGGCTTGCCTCAATTAGCTCTTATAACTTAAATTAATCCATTTAAATATTTTTATTTTTCTGACCCATTTATATTAATCTGTATTCTGCCACGAGGTGTCACCTTTCTTTCATCTTACACCTCCTGTTTCCTCTCCATGCCTAGCTAGCAACTCCTACTTTTTTTCCCCCAGAGTCCTCTCTGTCATGGAAATTCCCACCTAAGTTCTTCCTGTCTAGCTATTGATCATTCAGCTCTTTATTAAACCAATCAGAAGGTGTCTTGTTAGAGACACATCTTCATGGTGTACAAAGAGGTGATTCTACATCAACACAGGACAAGTAAACATATATGAACTACATCAAGAAAATGAACAAGATGGTGGCTCACGCCTTTAATCCCAGCACTCGGGAGGCAGAGGCAGGCAGATCTCTGTGAGGTCCAGGCCAGTCTGGTTTACAGAGAGAGTTCCAGGACAGCCTCCAAAACAATACAGAGAAACTCTGTCTCAAAAAATCAGAAAAAAAAAAAAGAAAACGAACAAGAAGTTAGAGTGTATGAATAAACTCTTCAGTCTTTTCTGATTCTGATTAGTGATCATGCAAATTCATGACAGAAAAAATACACTTTATTCTTATATCATTTCTCATTGACATTTAGTAGATCAGATAATTACCAGGAAGTAGTCTTGTAAAATATTTATTGCCCTGTCACAGAGAAATTCCTCTTCTAATATTTTACTTTAATATTTACTGTAACACTTATCCCATGCCAGATTCTACCTGACTCTGGAGTTAGACAAGATTGAATGCTGCTTGGACTTCGGTATTTGAAGAGTAAACAAAATTACAATGACATTAAAGGGCATTAAGGGAATAATGCGAGGAGCAGAGAGGTAGATGGTGATGAGAGAAGATAATTATTTTAGATGTGGCCCTCAAGTTCCTCTGTGACATTTGTACAGCACAATTAATGTTAAAGTATATAATCTTTGCAAAGCAACCAGTATTATAACAGATTCCTTTAGAGAATGTGTGTCCATGTTTGCAAAACAAGAAGAAACTTTATGTGTCTTATCTCCTTAGTTTGCCCATTGCAATTTTATTGGGATTTTAATTACATGGAAATACTTGTATTTTACCAAAATGTCAGTGTGTGGAATCATTGTTTTGTTCCTTTTTAGGTGGTGACAGCTACTGGAACACTAGCTTTAGGAATCAACATGCCCTGTAAATCCGTGGTTTTTGTTCAAAACTCAGTCTATCTGGATGCTTTAAATTTCAGACAGGTATTAAAATAAACATTAACTTTATTAATATTATGTAGCCATGAAATAGTAAAAAAATAGTTTAACTACTAATTTACTAACATGTTCCAGTTCATGACAGATCGCTGTAGGTGACTGGTACTGACTAAGAAACAGGACTAAGAGATTATATGAGCACTGCCAATGATGCATATGATCTTAGATAAGACATTAGTCTCCTCTCCTATTTGCAGAATCTAGGTGACCATTCCTACCTCATGACTTTCACATAAACTAAAGTGATTTGCAAAAAGGTCTATGATATAATATTGTGTTATAATATATATCATATATAATATTATATATCATAGATAGAATACTTTATCACATGAGTAACTGCCAGGAAGTTACAATTATATATCACACAACAGTGCTATATTCATAATATTAGATACATGATTTTATAAATTAGGTATAGTTCTGTACAGCATTATACAAATACTTAGTATGATTAATGATGCACGAGAATGACAGATATATTATTATAAATAATATGCTTCAAATACGATGAATGCTTTAGATTTTAAATAGAAGGCTATTCATTTTAGTTAACTCCAAGCACAGCATACTTGCTCAAAAAAGCAATGGTAAAAGCTTAGTTCTTTGCATCCTCTTAGGAAGAACACCCAGGCAATTCTCACAGCATGATTCTCCTCTGTTTCCAGATGTCTGGTCGAGCTGGAAGACGAGGACAAGACCTGCTGGGTGATGTCTACTTCTTTAATATTCCACTGCCCAAAATAGAAAAACTCATAAAATCCAAAGTTCCTGAGCTGAGAGGACAGTTTCCTCTCAGAATCTCACTCATTCTAAGACTCCTGCTGCTGGCCTCCAAGGCAGATGACCCAGAGGATGGCAAAGCAAAGGTACTGTGTGTCTCTGCTGGGGCCTCTGCCTGAAATGCTGGCCTGGCTGACATCAGCCCCATTGTGCTTATATCAGGCTTCAATGCTTCTCAGTGTTCTCTAGACTGGCTGGAGGAAGCTGGGGAAGGAATTATAACTTTTGTCTGTTTTTGTTGTTGGACAGAATTTGTGACTGGGTGGGCACTAAGGTGTTCCCACGATCACTGTCTCCTGGTAAAATAGACAGCATTGTCTTTTACTAAATGTGCCACCTATCATCTGTTTCTGCCATTCAGAAGCAAAAAGAATATTTTTTTTACCACTGTAAAGTAACAGTTTAGTTTTCATAAGACAAAATCCAAGTTCATTAAAAATGATTAGAAAATTTAGAAAATTGGAAAACAAGCCAAAAAAAGGACATATGCCTAGTTCTACCAAGACAATTATATTACTATTTTTTGTTTTTCAGACTTTTTTCCCCAATGTATGATTACACACTTTGGAGAGGTGTAAGTAAGCAAGCATCAAAACATAATCTGAGCATTGTCTCGATGCTTTAGCATCTGATAAAACTGAGTCTGAGACCATGGATTTGAAACTCACAATTAGACGATCTAGTTTCCATTCTTGTGACAATACACTGTTGAAAGGACTGATGTTTACTTTCTGTTGGCTGTAACGTAATACCACGGGTGGAGTGAAGTATAAGAAAAGTGGTTCGTTTTGGCTCATGATTCTGGAGGCTTAATGCTGAAGGGTGGCATCTAGTGAAAGACTTTCTTTTTTTTTGGTTTTTACGAGACAGGGTTTCTCTGTATTGTTTTGGAGGCTGTCGGTCCAGCCCGGCCTCGAACTCACAGAGATCTGTCTGCCTCTGCCTCCCGAGTGCTGGGATTAAAGGCGTGTACCACCATTGCCCGGCATGAAAGACTTTCTTGAAGTGTCCCAAGTCACAGAAAATCACATGGTAAACATGAAGCCTGCCTGCCTGTCTGGCCTTTCCCTTTTGTTCCTCTTGTAAAATCAATGAGGATGCCAACATGGGAGCCTTCTTTTCTTAGGACTTTCTGTGGTTCTTATCATTTTCCTAAGTCCCAGCTCTCAATCAGGTAGCCTGCATAGAGATTAGATCTTAGCATGATTTATGGACTGCATTCAGAACACAATAGGACCTATTCTTCCCTAATTCTGTGTATTAATTTTTATAGTCGGTTAGTTCAGATGCTGCTTACCAATACACAAATTCCGAGATTTTTCCTAATGGGGTTTCTGGCTTTACAAAGCATTGTTTCAGAGCAAAGTTTCTATATTTTTGAGTTCTTTTAAAAGTTCCCTCCCTCCCTCCCTCCCTCCCTCCCTCCCTCCCTCCCTCCCTCCCTCCATTCTTGCATTTCTTTATTCCTCTGATTTCAGCACACAGAGGAAAATAGGGTGTAGTAAGGCCCATTTTAGTTCCCTCCATAACCCACTGTAAAGGAGATGGTGCATTCACCTCTTTTATTTTCCCTTCTGTCCCACTGTTAAGTATATTGGACTTAAATACAGTAGTAGCTGGAGAGGTGACTCAGGTATTAAGAGCATGTAAGTTTGTTGCAGAGAACCTGAGTTCAGTTCCCAGTACCCATGCTGGGTGTCTCACCTTCCTATAACTCCAGGAGGTCTGATGCTCTCTTCCAGATTCCATGAATACATGCTTGTACTGCCTCTCCTGGTCCCCGCCATCATGAATACTCACAATGAAAGACAAAATAATTCTTTCTGGTTTTGTTATTTTTTAAAGGACAGTGGAGCTTTTTTTTTCCTGCACTCTGTAAACTCCCTAACTTAAAGTCAAAGAGGTTGATGTCCACTGCTAAGTTTGCTTTTATTGTGAGTTCATAGATATTTTAGAGAGAAGTTGAGTTCTCCACATACAACAGTACTTTTGACTCTGAAAATTAAGAATTTTCACTTCTTTGGTTTCGGCTAACCTCCTAATCTTTTAACAATATTATCATAAATATAGAGTAGTATATGTGTTGCAAGCTCTGAAATTGATAAAGTCTTCTTATGCTCAGACTATTTGGAGGCAATTTTGTTCCTTCCAATTTGCCTTTCTGTGCTTATCTTAGTCACTTTTTTATTAACGTGACAAGACCATGACCAAGGTGCTTACTCAAGGAAGGGTCTGCTGACCATCATGACAGGAGCAGGGCAGCTGGGAAGCAGTCAAGGCAGTGGAGTAGGGGCTGAGGCTGTGCATCTTGAGGCAGTACCACAAAGTAGGGATGGAGAGCTAACTGGGAATGGCATGGGCTTGCAGTCCTTACCAAACAATTCCATAAACCGGGCAGCGAGCATCCAAACACATGAGCCTATAAGGAGATTCTCATTCAAACTGCCACAGTGCTCTTTTGTGTATTAAAGGACACGCATGATATGTTAGGTGACGTGCTAGATGATGGAAGAAATTGTATTGTATTAAATATAATTGAATTTTGTCCGATGATGCTGTGCTTTTTAGTATTATTCATACTCTAAACAGTGGGTAGCTGAGGGCACTCAAAGGAGCCCTTAAGAGCATCCCCTTTTCTTTGTGTGCTGTAGTCAGGGGAGAAAGTGTTTGGAAAAGCATAAAGTAATAAAAAGGGGAACCCACAACGGTTCACTGCACTTTAGAGGTACAAGTATTGTAATTATATATTGTAAGATATGTGATACATATGTGTATGTGTGTGTTATATGTAATTTAGCCTGTGTACTTCCATCAAAGACATTTCATTCACTTAATGTTGCTGAATCAAATGCTTTCCTTTGTAGGCACTGTCAGTGCTGAAGCACTCTCTGTTATCCTTCAAACATCCCCGAGCCACAGACATGTTGAAGCTTTACTTCTTATATTCTTTGCAGCTCCTGGTGAAAGAGGTACGCACAAACTCCACCTCCCCCCCCATCTCTGTGTGTGTGTGTCTCTCTCTTTCTGCTGACTCTCTCTGTGGTGTGTGTGTGTGTGTGTGTGTGTGTAATAGATTTGCAGCTGTCTAGAATTTTTAAAGTAACAGACTTGATTGTTTTAATTAAAACTATTATCTGCATATGTGTGATGTGTGTGTAGCTGTCGTGTGTGTAGGTGCCTGTGGAGACAAGAAGAGGGCATGAGAGGCCTGGAAGTGGAGTTGTAGCCACTGTGAGGCACTCAGTGTGGATTCTGGGAAACAGCCTAGGACCTCTGGAAGAGCAGCAAGTGCTCCCGACAGAGCCATCTCTCCAGCCCTAGGTTTTTGTTTTTAAGCACACTGCAATCATTAGAAAACAATAACCAATAGTTACTGCTACTTGTAATTCATGTAATTGTTAAACTTGGGCCAGGTAACAGTTACCATCTTATTGGCATGCAATATTTTAAACTGATAATGAATAATCTACTTGTTGCTAAATATGTGAGTGGAGCCAAACTAACAAATTACTTCTGTTCTTTAGGGACATATAGATCAGGAAGGTAATCCCACAGGGTTTGCTGGCCTTGTAACACATTTACATTACCATGAACCATCTAATCTTGTTTTTGTGAATTTTCTTGTAAGAGGACTTTTCCATAATCTTTGTCAGCCAACTCACAAAGGTAAGTTTGAGAGCTGTGTTGTCTGTGTATTATCAAAATAATACTGTCATATCATACAGTATATAAATAATATGTCATTATTAGTATGTGGGTACATATCAAATAATATATGATATGTGATAAATATTATATCTAAAGTCATATGTGTAACTGTAAAATCTTCCCATGGTGGGAAAAAAACTGATAGACTTATAGGAAACTAGAACTTCAGGGATACATTTGCTCAATAATCACTTGAGAGAGCATCAGTTAATTGTATAAAAATCTTATTATTGTTCATTTTAACAAAAAGGTTAATAAAAAATAGAGATTGAAAATTATATAGCCAAATTATAAGTTTCTAAATAAGATACAGTTAAACAAGTACTAATAGAGATTCCATTTTGTAGCAACAATTTTAAAATATTCAATACTGAAAGTTGGAACTTGAAAAGTGTGTTGCCACTATGATTCTGAACATACTGAGTTATACAATATTCATCAAACATTTCCTTGTAATTAAATATATGGTGAATTTTGAACAACCACACAGGAAAGCATTGTTAAAATATGAAATCTAAAATTCTACCCACGGATATAATCAACATTAATATCTGTGAATATTATCTGCAACACTATTTTCTTTGAATGTTACTATCCATAAGTAACTGATATTGCATTTACTATGTGTCTGCGGTCAATTATACATATTAAATTTTGCCCATGGTTATTGGGCAAAGTCTTTAAAATAAATCCCATATAGCTTTTATGGGAGAAATAAAAAACCTTTGTGTTCTCCATTTCAAAGCAAATTCTTTGCACAATGTCTCTGCAGTAAGCAGTGCTGTCTCATGGCATCTGTGCTTATTGTTGTGGTACTTCCCTGTGCACGGTGGCCTCCATGCCTCATGCTTTGTCCTCTGTCGCCATCTTTGCTTTGCGCAACACCTGCCGTCTTTACGCTTTAAAAAATGTTTCAGTTTGTGGCTACTCAGAAAGTGTTCTTCCTCCAGTGAAAATCATTTCATGCAAGAGGAAGTGTGGCTGTATTTATTGTTCTTGACAGAGGTGGCCAAAATTGATAACTTTATAAAGGATACATAGAGAAGTTAAATAAACTGACGTGCACCTAACCTTTTAAGAAGTCAGAGCTGGTACTCAAACATAACTAGCCTGATGCTAGACCCCAAGTTATTAATTATCATAACTTTTTCAGTATTTCTACCATTTATGTGCTATTGGAAGGCAGTGATTCAGATGGACTGTGTCTCTGTCTGAGGTGAGGAAGGCTATCTGTATGTTCAGTTTTGGATATTTTGTTGTTAGGCATGGCGATGTCATAAGAGATTGTTGACTTGGTGAGAGACAGTAGCATGGTTTGCATGAGCATGATTTCCATAGGGTTAATACTTGGTCCCCAGGGAGGGGCTCTACTTGAAAGGATAAGGAGATGTAGTGTTGAAGGCAATCTAGACTTTCTTTTCTACTGCCAGTGCCAAATAATGACACAGAGACTTGTGGTTAATTATGAAAGTTTGACCTTAGCTTAGGCCTATCCCTCTAGTTCTTATAACGTAAAGTAACCCATTTATATTAATCTGTGACCTGGAATGTGGTGTTGCCTCTCTTTCATCTTACCCCTCCTGTATCATTTCCGTGTGTGACTGGTGACTGGTGACTCCACATTTCTCTCTCCCAGGGTCCTCTCTGTCCACAGAAATCCTGCTTATAAATCCTGCCTAGCTTGACCATTCAGCTTTTATTACACCAATCACAGTAGATATATCTTCACACAGTGCACAAATAACCCAAAACAAAACTGTGTCACTTGGGGGGGTGGGTTTTGAGGTTTCAAAAGCCACCCAAGTCCAGAGTCTCTCTCTCTTCCTGGTGCCTGCAGATCCAGATGTAGAACTCTCAGACACTTCTTCAGAATGACATCTGCCTGTGTGCCCCTCATAATGGTAATAGGCTAAACCTCTGAAACTGTAAGCAAGCCCCAATCAAATGCTTCCTTTTACAGCAGTTGTCATGGTCATGCTGTCTCTTCACAGCAGTACAACACTAACCAAGACAGAAGTTGGTATCAAAAGTTTCGTATTGCTGTGGCAGGTCTGACTGCGCTGCTGTGGGCAGAAGGTGGAAATTGGGACTTTGGATTAGGAAAGCAGTTAAACATTTTAAGAGGGGCTTAATGAAGCATACCAGTATGAAGAGGGAAGACAGTGATGGTGAGAACAGTGCAGATTATGATGGCTCAGCTCAAGAGATTGCAGAGGAGAAAAAAATCAGTAAGTGGCCTAGAGACTCTCCTTGTGATATGCTGGTGGAGAGTTTTCGGCTTTTATCCAAAAATTATGCCAGAGGCTAAATTGAAGACTTCTGAATTAATGACCCTGGCATTCTTACTCAGATCTGTAATGAAAAGGAGCAAGTTGGACTAAGAAATTCAAACTGTATAGTTTTAGGAGAAAAGGAGCACCAAGCACTCTAATGGAGCTAAGTCCTGCACTTCAAGAGAGTACAAGTTTAAAGAAACGCTTGATGTAATATGGGATAAAGGGAGTGGTGACCTTAGAGCAAGACTCCACCCATCTAAGCTTTCAACTTGTGAAAAGGAATTAAGCTTAAGCAGTGAAGGAACGCATCAATAGCAGAAACCTGATGCAGATGTAATTTAAAGAGAAGGACAAAGCCTAAGCAAGCAGTAGAACATCGAGGCTTCAGTCACATAATTCTGGCTTGAGAGTCCAGAAGACAAGGAAAGCGTTATGGAGTCTCCCTCTGTGCCTAACAACTGTACTGAGGCCAGCTGTGTGTCATTGGTGTCCCTGTGTGGAGACTCAGAGAGGCCACTGTACAAATCTGTGCAAGTGAAGCCTGGAGTATGGTAGAGACTCCAAGAGCTGTGGGTTAGCAGCCAAGGAGAGCTGCAGACCATGTGTGGAACAAGCCCAAGAGAGAAAAGGGTTTTGCAGTGAACAAAGATGAAAGAAGTTGGAGGTCTGAAGATTGACATCAGACATGGAGATGCAGAATGTGGAGCTTGCCCAAAAGGTTTTCAGTCTTGCTTTGGTCCAGTTTTTCCTCATTATGCTCCCCTTGCTCCCTTTGGAATGGTAGTGTATATTCTGTGCCATTATATATTGGAAACATGTAACCTGCTTTTTAAAAAAAATTTAAAAATTTAGTTTTTTATTTTGTATTTAAATTAGAAACATGCATGCTTCAAATGTCAATCCCAGCTCCCCGACCATGTTCCTCCACCAGCCCTGCCCCCTCACCCCCAGCACAATCCCCACATCATTCCCCAGGGAGAGTGAGGCCTTCCTTGGGGGGATCTCCAGAGTCTGTCATTTCACCCAGGGCAGGACTTAGGACCTTCCCCATGTGTCCAGGCTGAGAGAGCATCCCTCAATGTGGAATAGGCTCCCAAAGTTCATTCGTATGCCATGGCAACACTGATCTACTACTCAAGGCCCCAGAGATTTCTGAGGCTTCCTCACTGACACTACACCCATGGAGTATGGATCAGTTCCCTGTTGGCCTCTTAGCCATCATCAGTCTGGGATTCAAGAGCTCCCCTTTGTCCCATCAGCTGTCTTTGTGGGTTTCACCAGCACGGTCTTGATCCCTTTGCTCATCACTCCTCCATCTCTGTTACTGGGTTCCAGGAAGTCAGTTCAGTGTTTAGCTGTGAGTGTCTGTCTCTGCTTCCATCAGTCACTGGATGAAGGTTCTAGAATGTCATATAAGGTAGTCATCAACCTTATCATCAGGTAGGGGCCATCAATGTAGTCTCTCCACTATTACTTAGTTTTCCAGTTGGTGTTATCCTTGTAGATCTCTAGAAATCTCACTAGTGTTAGCTCTCTCCTCAAAGCTATAATGACTCCAACTATTATGGTAGCTCACATCCTGATCTCCTCTATTCTTACCCTGACTCAACCATCCTGATCCCCCATGTCTTCTTCTACCCTTCTCTTATCCCCCTCTCTTTTTCCTGGTTCCCTCTCCCCTCTCCCCATGTTCCCAATCTGCTCAGGAGATCTTGCCTCTTTCCACTTCTCTGGGGTATAATGCATATATCCCTGCTTCCCAGACTCACTGACCCTGCGATTGTAGGCTGACACTGCCCTGATTCATGTCTAAAATCCATATATGAGTGAGTCCATACCATGTTTGTCTTTTTGTGACTGAGTTACCTCACTCAGGATGGTTTCTTCTAATTGCGTCCATTTGCCTGCAAATTTCAAGATTCCATTTTTTTTCTGCTGAGTAGTACTCCATTGTATAAATGTAGCACATTTTCTGTATCCACTCTTCAATTGTGGTGCATCTAGGTTGCTTCCAGGATCTAGCTATTACAAATAATGATGCTATGAACATAGTGGAACAGATGTCCTTGTTGTAAGAATGTGCATCTTTGGGGTATATGCCTAAGAATGGGATTGCTGGGTCTTGTGGTAGAGTGAGTCCCATTTTCCTGAGGAATCTCCATACTGATATCCAAAGTGGCTGTACAAATTTACACTCCCACCAGCAATGGACAAGTGTTCCCCTTTCTCCACATCCTCTCCAGCATAATCTGTCATTGGTGTTTTTGATTTTAGCTATTCTAACAGGAGTAAGATGATATCTCAGGGTTGTATTGATTTGCATTTCCCTAATGGCTAAGGATGTTGAGCACTTTCTTGAGTATCTCTTAGCCATTTTAAACTCCTCTGTTGAGAATTCTCTATTTAGTTCAGTCCCCCACTTTTTAATTGAGTCCTGTGGTGTTCTGGAGAGTAGCTTCTTGAGTTCTTTGTAAATTTTGGAGATCAGCCCTCTGTCAGATGTGAGATTAGTGAATATCTTTTCACAATCTGTGGGTTGCCTTTTTGTCTTGCTGACTGTGTCCTTTGCCTTACAGAAGTTACTCAGTTTCAGGAGGTCCTATTTATTAATTGTCGATCTCAGTGTTTGTGCTACTGGTATTATGTTCAGGATGCAGTCTCCTGTACCAATTTGTTCAAGGA